AGTCTCTCTACGCTCCAAATTTACACAGCCCAGGGAGACAGCATCGGGTATCTTGATCTCAATCGATATTAAATGTTCTGTTATGTTGTTTATATATTTATTTAAAAGTATTACAAGTATTAGTGTTAATACAACTTTGTTTGTATTTGTTCAGAGGTATTTTTCATCATAGAATAAAGAAAATCTATGCAACACTTTAAGCATATGGATAACATGACTGGCCTCCGTTGTGGCTAATACACACTGGCATGCGATTCATCCAACCCCACATAAAAAATACTGAAATATCCCTTTAAGTTGGGAAAGCTTTACAATAAGAAGTAAAAGTCACATGTTTTTGATTATTTATGTTGTTCCTACTGGAAGATTAAGTAGTTTAATATTATTGTACTGAATTTCAAATTCTGTTATTTGCTGACTGTGAATATATTTCGTTGTTTCTCCAAGTACTTCATACAAATACACAGTATCCTATTTTTAATTATAATCCATATTCCTCTGCTTAATTATTTTCAGTATCCTCTTATGATTATTATTATTATGCATTTTCAAATGTTTCTCAAGGTCAGAGACTCCCCCACAGCGAAATTAAGATTTCAAGAATGACTGAATGATTGTAAAGTAAGAATATGTTTACAAAAACTTTGGTATAAAATGGTTGTGCATATTCATATTTTTTTCAAGAATTAACAAACATTTTTATAGATGAACAACAACAACAAAAGAAAATCCCCTAATACTGTGATAGCACCTGACAAATACAGAGAAAAAACAACAACAACAACAACAACAGGAGGGTAACAAAGGTCAGCAGACTTTATTGAGTTTATAGAAAAGTCCTGTTAAAGTGCATGTAACAGCTTGGTAAAGGTCAGCATTTATTTAGTTTGTTTGTCATTCTGCTGCAGGTTTGCAGTCAGCACACACAGACAAACAAACATCGATCCATGAGGAAATATTGATCTTTATCCTCTCCTGCACTGCTGTGTATTTTCATTCCTATCTTACACACACGTGAAAATAGGTACTATTTGTTAACAGTCTCAGCCTGGTGTTAATTTAGGGTAAGTTACAGAGCAAACACACACCCAAACAAACACACACAGAGACTCTGCCGTGTTTTCCTGTGGTTATGAGGGGAAACTTTAATGGGAGGCATGCATCACCATTCATGGTATTAAGATCTCATTCCAGTGTTAATCTACTTACAGTCTATCTCCCTCCCAGCTAAGACTCGCAGCTTCCAGCGTTTTAAGATCAGAATGACACAAAAGATAAATTGACCAGCTGAGCTCGACAAACAGACACAACTCAGTCAGCAGCATAAAAGGCATAACACAAACAATTAAGCCTGTGGCAACATAGCAGTATTTACGATGACCCTCCTCTGAGAAAAATAAAATGTTGATATTGTGCTGAAAATAAACACACAGTCAAACTATGTTTGAAAGAAGTGGTCTTTGATGCCCGTTGCCACACATCAAAAAATGGAGGATGGATGATTTTGTGCCAGTATAGCACCGTTTGACAAGGCAGCACTTTTCCACAGAACACCTGTTGCTGATTAGCATGCAGTGCTATGATCTTCAACAGAGCCAAGCTACCTGCAGTACACATCAACAAACTCTTGATATTTATATTACTGATCAGTATAGTTTCTGATTTCTTCAGACTCATATTCAGTTATTCAGCAAGCCTTGACATAGTAATAAAGAGCCACATAGTGGATTGAGGTTTTGTGTTGTTAAAATGTGACTCTTCATAGCACTTTTATAGCATTCCTTTTAATAAGTTATCTATATGTTATTTGGTAACGCTTTACTTGACGCCTATCTCTATAACGCATTATAAATATATGTATAATGCGTTACAATCACATTATAGCATTGTATAATGCATTATGATCATTTCTCAGTGTTTATAATGACAATAATACAAGTTTATAAGCAAATTACAACATATCATAAATATATGTATAATGCATTATCTATGTGGGCATTGTCAGTGAGTTGTTAACAGTTATAACACATTATAATACCTGACCTTGTCAGTCATGATAAAATGCTTATATAATAAATAAAATGCTTAATAATGTGTTGAGATTAATGCTATAAAGCATTATGATCATTTATGAGTGTTTATAACTATAATTATACAGTGCTATAACATGACTATAATGCATTTTACATATATTTAAAATGTGTTACAGAGATAGGTGTCAAATAAAGTGTTACCTGTTATTTTAAATCGTATACGCTTTTATTTGATTATTTCGGTGTCTTAACCACAGACCCTTTGACAACCTGCTGGGCTTTACATTGAGCAACAACCCACCATTCTAAAGTTGACAAATACTTTGTGTTTGACAAATCCAGGTTCCTCCTTCTGGGGCCTTGAATTTTTTTTTTTTCTCACTTGGTAAACTATCCAATAGGTTTTGAGATGTTCACTACAATTACCAATCCCGTGTGGGCATTTGACAAATCATGGGTAAACCAACAGTGTAAGGGGTTCATCATCTGTGGACAATGCATAACCATATGAAATGTTCAGATTCTGTTAACTGGACCAAGATAGTTCACTTGGCATAAAAATTTTGGCCAACTTGAGATATAGGCGGGGTCAACACCACCATATATAGAGGCATCTAACAAAGTTCATTTTTTTTAGCCTGACAGGTGTGATTTCTTCTCCCTTATTTAAAGACTGCAGAGAACTGACAGGGTAAATAATGTATGTATATAGGGCAAAGACTCCCTTCCACTATAAGAGTATGTTGACACTGACAGAGGTATGAGGGGTTTTCTGCTTAGAAGGAACTGGTCAGACTCCAAGGCTGAGGGTGGATCTGTCTGTGAGGAGTGCTAGAGGACTAAAATATGTTTGTCTTGGATTGATCAGTGAACCAGACTTTGGCAGAGACAGCAAAACAGCTCAGTTCATTTCTATCCCGACTGTAACATATTAATCTTGTAATTGTTTCCATGAAAATATTATCAAGGACACGGAAATCTCGTTGATCAAAAGGGATGAAAGAAAGCAGACTTCCTGTTTTAATTACATTAAATCAAATCAATAACACCAGCAACAAATACCAGACTAGTCACTGATTTCTGTGTAACAACTGTGGTACAGCTGCTTCTGCTGTTGCACAATCAAATAGACATCAGACGGATGTTTGGGGTCCTTCATGCAGTCAGCTCATTAAACCCCTGGACAGGAATGCAGAAAGTGTAAAAACACCATGTTTCTAATGTTTGGGGACCACAAAAAGAAACCAAACCACAAAACAGATGACTTTTGGTTTAAAGTTTTTTATAACCACAAACCATCTGTTGTTGGATAAGCGACATCTCTTCAAGGACGTTAGAGTTCCCTTCAGCGTTTTCTGATTCAGATATTAGCACACTTCAGTGTCCTTCAAAAGATCTACAAACAGGAAATAACTTCAGAGATGTGTTGCACATAATGTCTATCAAATTATTAGTCTTGGACACCTTTGCCATCATTTAATTTCTTTCTGTTCTTTCTCGACAGAAATCAATGACTTTCCATCAAATTGAGCTTCTTGAAAGCAATTAAGAAAGTGTTCACAGGAATCCTGGATGTAGATAGTGGACAATAAATCAGTGTCACATTAACACCCCAGCATTACACTTGACCTTTGAAGCAAACATCATGCTGCCAGCATGAATGCGCTCTCTCTTTTTCTTGTATATCAGTTTAATTTAGCAGGTGAAAATACAAGTGACATTTAAGCATTGGTAAAAGGGTTACTTAAAGCTCATGTGGGTAATTTTTTTAGACAGCACAATGTATCATGCTACTTTGACAATTGTGTCCTCCACATTTGTTTCCAGACAAATACATTTCTTCCTGCAAAATCTCTCACACTGTATTAACACTCGAGTTCCCTTTTCGGGGTCAGTGTCACTGAAATCGACCCAAAACACAAACCTGAATTCTCTGATTTTCTATCATCCTTATTTCTTAGCTGTGGGAAAAACTCATTTGGTTTATAGCAGCATGTTGCTGGCCTCACACATAATTGTTGGCATAACACTCTATCTACATCTGACATGTTCACATCAGATCATTAATGCATTTTATTTGACAGTACTGTATCTTCTAAGCTGCTAAATCAAACTGTAATGAAACACCCACGTGTCATCTTTTATCAATATGTCTTGTTATTTTATCTCACTGTTTTACTTCTATACTGTGAGCTTTTATGTTTGTGAAGTACTTTATTATGTCGGTTTTAAAAAGTGCTTTAAAAATAAACATGATTATAATAATAATAATAATAATAAAAATAATAATAATAATAATAATAATAATAATAATAATAATAATAATAATAATAATTATCATTATTATTATTATTATTATTATTATTTACTCATTTACTGACTCATGCATCAAATTGTGGCCAACTGCAAAGATTGTGGAGAAAGGTACGAATTGTTTTTAACTATCACAGGATGAACCCTAATGAATTTTTGTGTAATTTAAGTGTACCACCACTGCCCACAATCAGCCAGTTTCAGTTTTGTCAGTGGTTATTTTTTTTCTTTTTAGTTGTCTTGATCAAATTTTGGCTTAGGACCAACAGACTAAAGAAGACTGTCTTTCCTACTAAATGTAAAAGTTAGTATACTTGATATATATATATATATATATATACGTTTTTGTCATTAGTAGATTTAAAAGGTCATCTCTGCACCTTTATTTGGAGACTGTCAAGAGAGCCAGCACACAAAAGCTAGGCTTCAGTTTTATGCAGATGGGGCCTACATATACAGTATGTGTTCTTACAGGCAGACTTGAACCTGTCTGCAGAAAACTGTGGCCTAGATGCACTCTGGTTCTGGTTTTAGTTTCTTATCAAAAGGGTAGAGTTGACTGGTAAACACTGAACCCACACTTATAGTGACTTGAAACTCTTATGTTGTGCACACCAAATGTGAATAAAATCATTTGTATGAGTGAATTACATCTAAAGTTAGGGATGGGCTATAAAGGCTAAAAAATGTATCACTATAAATTTTGTCATTCTGGGGAAAACAATAAAAGTCCTGATTAAAAATATTTTAAATCCTATCAATGTTTTTAACTCAGTCTGTCCTGAGGACACCAGTTGACAGAGTCAAATAAGATACTTAACTATAAGTTTAAGTGGTAGGTTATGGAGAAAACTAATGAAATGTGAAAACACTTTCAACATTTATTGAAATCTCTAATTGCACAGAGTGAACAGCAGCAGATCCTCCTCCAATGTCAGGTATACCTGATTGTGCTTAAATAAGCCACAGTCTTGAAGGAAATCCCTCATGTGGAGGCTTGTTTAGTAACAAGCTGCTCAGAAACGTCTCCTTCACTATTTTCGGCCATGTTTGTTTGTTACTCTGACCTGTTTGGACTATTGCTGTGAATCGTTGTTCATGCGTACGTCATCAACTTGCATATATCGCGTTTATCGTGAGATGTCAAATATTTATCGTGGAGGAATTCTCTGGCGATAAATCGATAATTTATCACCCATCCCCATGTAAAGTCAGTGTAAAGTTGCAGTTACTTGCATGTTCTCAATCAGGGCTCAAACGATGGGACTGAGGTGACAAACAAAGCAGATTGTACATGTGAATGATGTGAATCCAAAGGTTGCAGCCCAATGACAGAGAGAGCAGAGTATTTCAGAGGGAGTGACAGAAAAGATTTGTTCGTGGCATATTACATGCACAGAGCTCTGTCACTGCACCATGTGAAGACTATCATGTGGTAAGTTTTACTGCTGGGAGGGTGAGTGGTGTAAAAATTCTGTTTGAACCGGTTTGATTACTGCAAGGGTCTCACTGAGGGACAAGAGTCAGAGGGGGGAGGATGGAGGGAGGGTGAAAATGAAGACAGAGGAGTCACAGATTCCCTCACAGTGAATCCTTCAAAGCTCATCTAAAAACGTTGACACTGAAGTGAAGTTTCCATTGAGCTTCTTTCTCCCAGATGAGACTACATTATTGTCTTTTGAAAAAATAAGCACAGCTTCGGGGGTGATCCTGACCCTGTGCGGGGTGAAAGAGGGTCTTAAATCGATTAATTTGCTGATGATGCTGTTGTGTGCGTGAAAGAGAGGGGCCACATGTCAAATAAACACAGATATCTCCCTGGGTGGAAGGGGGAAAACAACAGACTGAGAAGATTAATCACTTCTTTGGGAGGGGAGGAAGAGAAGAAGAAATAATATACGAATGAAAGAGGAAGGCGGGGGTGATATCTTTACGATGAAGGAGTCCAAAAGATGTTTGAGGGAAAGGAAAGAGTGCAGGAGTTCATGTGTGGAGGGGAGGACAGGGAGAGGGTTGTGGAAGTCTTGGAGACTGTTGCGATCTCTGCAGAAAAGCTTGAGATAGTCAGTGGACATTTAACATCTGTTAACATCTGTTCAATCTAGCTCAAGCACACACAGCATATAAATACACTGTTTATGTACAACACGCACCATGTGAGAGCTGATCTTATCAGCGCTTTGTATCACAGCTTTCTGTCTGTTTTTCTGAGCGTGTTTTCTTGCTCCTGTGCAGTCTGACATGTGTTTGTACTCACAGCAGCTCTGCATACCAACCAACAGCATCCTTTCTTGTGCAATATGTGGAATATTTCAGCAGGCGCCCAAAAATCTGCCCAAAAAAACACATGTATCCACGCAAACATCAAAATATCCCAGATATGTCACACTTCTCTATCTTTGCTTGTGTGTCTTTTTTAAAATCAGCCAGTTTACTCCCCGATAGCTGTGCGTGCTCTGAAACTCATGCAAAGTTTTCTTTTAAAAAAAAGTCTGGAGGACCTTTTAGACTGCAGATACACACACGTATGAGTGTATTGTGTTGTTGTCAAGAAGAGCTCAGTGTAAATGGACCGTTATTACAAGGACAGAGAGGGAAAGAGAGAATAGATGTTGGCCTGAGGGAAAAACCAGGCGCACAGTTACACACAACATGCAGCAAAAACGCACACATACAAGTACATGCAGAGCTGAATCCTGAGCAGAAGGGTAGCCTAAGGGCTGTAGCGTAGACATGTCACCAGAGTTTCAGAGGAGCACAACCTCTAATTTCTGTCTCTCAAAAGAGGGGAAGTCAAACCCTGGAGATGGGTAGAGAGGGAACAGGACATGGTGGAGTTAGATGGAAAGACAGAAAAGAGGAGAATCAAGAGAGAAAACAGGGGAGGTTACCTGTGCAACAACACGGCTTTGTTATGACAACCAGAACAGCACTCTGTCATTTAGCCAAAGAGTTAAGTCAGTGATAGAGAGATTGTTTTTGCACTTTTTATCAGCACTAGCATATTATCTTACCAGGCTTTGAAGTTTATCAACACCATTCAACCAAAACCAGGCACAATCTACCTTCACAGACAAAAAACCCAATCAATAAGGACCCTTAATCCACAACGGATTGACGCCCTCACCAACAGAGAGGACTTATCTCATATTTATGATTAACCTCGTAGTGTCAAAGCTGCTTGACCAATAAACATTATTCCTTTTCACATACATTTCACACATACAGACCTACTTATGTAAAGACCTCAGTCAAACAAATTGAGCATCTTTTCAGTCAAACTCAAAACCACTCTGAAGCTAAATTTCTATGTGAAAGCTTTTGTCATCAGATGTTTTGTAGTTCTCACTTGCTTTTTGTCATTCATGGCTGTCTGGCCTTATATGTTTCATATTTGTCTCCCTGTTACTTGTTTTTCTTTGTATGAATATTTCTTGTCTCCAGGTAAATAGAAGCTCTCTGAGCAACACCTTGAAGAGATTTACTGACAAAACACCTTGATTTTACTATGTCAAACACATTGTAATATCCCAATGGGCGATCCCCTGAAGACTCCCCTGTAGATCCACCTTCTTTTCATCCAAAACAGACAGACAGACAGCACTTTGAATTAAACACATGAGAGCAACAGCAGATGAGGGAAGTGCAGATAGAGAGCAGAACAAGCTGGAAATCTCACTGTGATGTTCAAATGAGGTACAGAGCTCTGTGAAAGTCCAGGATCAGAGGGAATCTGGAGTTCAAAAGACTTTTAATATTCATTTGACAGAACAATAAGCGTCTTTTTTTGAGGAACTTCCATATGCAAATATAGTTTGTTTGAAGATTTTAGTGGAAATAGAGGAGCAGATGCTGAAGAAGTAAACAGCCGAAACAGGAGATTGATGGAGTGAAGATTGAGCTGAAGCAGGAGGAGCTACTTTTATAGATCTAATAAAATGGTGGCTAACTCCTCTCCATTAACCCTTTGTCCAGTCCACGGGGCTGCAGGGCAGAAACACACTAATGTGTCAGACTCTTAAGGACAAGGACACACACAGGATATAGTATATATGTTACTAGATACCTGTGGGCATGCTTTAGCTGTAAAGTCCGATTTCCTGCTTTAAAAAGGGTCACATTTAAGGGTGTATGCGCTCATTAAGGTGCCCTCTCTTTGACACCTAAAGAAATGAATCCTCGCTTGTTCTAAACAACTTGGCTCATTGTTCTTGTTAAAGCGGAATATCTGAAGACCATTTTCTGCTGCAGAGACATGAGCAGTAAAAGGCCTTGGGGGAACGGTCTCCACGGGATATCCATCTACAGCTAAATGGCCTATAAAAATTAGGACAATGCTGAGAATAAAGAGAGGGCCCCTCTTTGCTTTATGTTGTCTGTTTCCAAGTTCTGTCCTCTCCCTTTTAATTGTGAGCTAAAGCAGGTGATAACTAAAGTGATGCATATGTAATGTGTCAATAAAGCAAATTGTAAAATCATGAGGTAGGAAAAATGGATAATGCTTTGTGATTCGGAAGTAAGGTTGGAATACTCCCAAAAATCAGCTGGTGAGGAGAAGAAAAAAGCCATGGATGGCAGAGAATTTGATTTGATTTTACTTTATTTTTTTAAGCTAGGTTACATGGACCCATTATGGTCCCTTCATTATGTTGCATTACCTCATGGATGTTCCAAAACAAACAATTTCTTAGTGGATTAATGGACATTTAAACTCCAACTAGCTGATCTAAAGAATAGAAAAAACATCAAAAATTAGACACGTTTTATTTTACACAGCTAAACACAGAATCACAGCGTCTCTGAGTAAACTAGTTTTCTGATCGTGGCTACCATTAGCAGAGCTAGAACCCCAAGCCTTGTTCCTTTATCGTAGGTTAATATCCATGACAGATCATTCTGATCAAGTTGACCAAACACAGCTGACATACAACTTTCACCTATCTGTCACTAAGAACCAAACCGAGCCCCACTACAGGACGCCATCAGTCACCAGTGCTTTGTTAAATCTGAGGAGCAGAGCTTTAAAGACCCACTCTGATGAAAATCATGTTTTTCTTGTTGTCTACATTTTCATATGGCATTTTTCTGATGCAACAGGACTGTTAGGATATATTGCAAATATAGAGATAGTTTGACGGAGTTGAATAAAGTATCAACAATTATGCTCATTGCAGTCATGTACTGATGGATAACAGGAAGAAGGATAAAAACTCCAGGGAGGCTATCACCCTGTATAGAGAGAAAGAACAGTATCCACAGTGTGAAGGTTTTAGCTTTGGCTTCTCTTGATAGCTGATAAGTAATGTCCTGTACAGGAAAGAGATGTCCGTGTGCTGTTTTTGAAGGAAGTTGCACCCAGGGGTATGAAACAGGAAGTATGCAAACTGAAAGTGAGACTGCAGCTGGAACTTAGTGGGGGGCGTGAGTTATTTACATCTATGATAAGCCTGCTTATATTATTTGTCTGGCAATAACTAACAGTATGTTTTTGTAGGTATGAATGTGTGATATGAGTGTAGAATGCACAAAAACAACTCCTGATCAGGTAAATAGCTGGACCATCAGTGTGAGAGGTGAAGAAGAAACAGGAACCAGCCGACATCCTCGTCTTTTCTTCCCGTCAACAATCACAAAGATAAAGGGTGTAAGGGAATTAAGGATTGGAGTTGGATACTTAATACCAGTCAGTACGTTCTTTAAGGTGTCTTACTTAGTTCCTCCCGTTCCTATTGGAACACTGGGTGATGAGTCCCCTCCATTTGCTCTAGTCCCTAGCGACCCTTCTTGCTTTATGCCAGCTGACTCCCATCTCGCTCAGGTCTTCCTTGGCTGTTTGTCTCCATGTCTTCTTTGGCCTCTCTCTCCTTCTCTTTCCCCCCTCTGGCATCCAGTCTATTGCCACACTTGCCTATCTCTCTCTTGGCAGTCGGAGTACATGTCCGGTCATTCTCTTTCTCCTGTCAGAGACAATGTCAGACAAGGGTGCTACACCTGCCCTTCTCATCACCTCTTCATTGGTGATGTGGTCTCTCCATGATATCTTTAGGATGGATCTGAGGCACCGTCGATGGAAGACATCCAACTTGTTGGTGATGCTGGCTGTCTTCATCCATGTCTTACAGGCGTAGGTCGCTGTAGGGATGACCACTGACATATAGAGGCGTAGGCTTTGTGGCTGTGGTGATGGATTGACAATCAAATGTTCCGGAGTCGTTGGAAGACTCCAGCAGCTTTGCAATTTCTGGTCTCCACGTCTCCAGTATTTGAGATGTTGCTTCCGAGGTATGTGAAGTTCTCGACATACTCTATGTCTTGTTCGCCTATGGTGAGTGGTGGAAGGTGTTGATGTTGTGCAACGGTTATGGCCTTGGTCTTTTCTTGGCTTATACGTAGACCGACTTTTGCTCCTTGCTCATGCAGGTTGTCTGTCAATTCTTGGAGTATAAAGTAGGTATGGCTAAGGAGCACCAAATCGTTTGCAAAGTCTAGCTTTAAGGTGTGGACAATTATAATATAAGAGTACCCCTTAAGATTATTCTTTCAAGATGTTTGGAAAATTACAATTCAGAGTACCCCTTAAGGTTATAGGGAAACCACCCTTTTTCCAACGGGACATATCATGAGAAAAAAATAAGTGCGAAATTGCATTTCTGGGTATTTCTGCATTCAAATCTCTGTGAATCTCTGGCAGACCTTAACGGCAGGTTCAGATACAGTAAGATTTCCTACGTCACAACTGCAAGCTCCGCCCCTGGAGCCCTGCCATGCAGGCCAGATTTAGAGAAGTAGAGAGGACGATCCCGGAACAAGCGCGTGCGTTAGTGGATTGCAATTCTCGCAAGAAAGCTAATTATGATACCAACTTTCATCATGTCCCTAAAGACATTAGTGTCCGAGAACTGAATAGCTCCTATGTTACCTGCTACTTCTACTACACCGGCAATGTTAGGCTGCAAGCTAGCGTGAAGAGGAGTGGGCAGAGGAGTGCTGTCTCTGCCCACGAGTCAGAGGCAAATTGCGAATGAGCTACTGAAGCTTTGCAGAAGAAAAGACCTTAAAAATGACAAGGATAATGCAATTTTGGCTAAAAACTTAATACTCACAATTTAAGACCACTGATAACACTTAAAGTAGTAATAAAAAAGATTGGAGTGGGACTTAAAGGCATTTAGGGCAGTTGGCATGCTCCCCAGCATCCAATTTCAGCATCATACTACAAATAAATGCTTTGCAGCCTACTTTTTACAAACCTTGAGGAGTTCGAACAGGAAGAAATGTATCAAACAAATGAAAATACTCTTATGTAGAGTTCATGTGCTTACTGTTTTGTGATTTATAGCTCTTGGTTACAGTATTTACATTGGAGACTGTTGTAAACGTTAGGTTTTTAAGCTCCTCTTTTTCAGTAAAGTTTGCCCAAACTTTAAGAAACTTGTCTTAGAGCAAGTCTAATTAATATTACTGTTTCTATTTGGACTTTGTTGCAGGGTCTTTATGTTTTCAAACCATAAGAGCTATTCTTCGAACAAGAGAGGAAATTTTAGTCAGTCATGTAAGACTACTGTGTTTGATGCTGGATGCCTCAGGGTTTGAATCCAAGCCAGCGGACTGTCTCTCTACTCACAAGGCTCAAATACTGCTCCTAACATTTGAGGCGTGATATTGTGATCGCTTTGCCATCACATGGCATGTTGAAGATTTCACAGTTTAACATTAACATAGCTGCAAGCAGCAGAAAAGAGAGCGAGGGGAATACATATTAAAATCTTGATGATGTTGTTTAAGGATTTAAGGAGTAAGAGGGAAAAGTTTGTGGTAAGTTCTGGATGTAAAAAATGATTAAAAAACTGATGCCACAATAAACATGTAATAGAGGGTTAATTGTTTGTGCTTAGCTAATCAAGATGACAAAAGTACCTTTATTTTTTGCAGTAAACCTTGTGTAAGACACTTACATAGCACAAGAAATGGTCAAGTGGAAAAAGTGATGAGGCAAAATTTCAGTCACTTGACCGACGTTAGTTATCAAACTCGATTCTGCAGTGAGGAAGAGGCTGTATGATCTCAGATGTTTCCAGTTAAAAATTATTCCAAACACTGTGGAAAAACTTCATCCCCCAAAGTCAAATCCTTGATGTATGACAAAAAAGTCCCGCATTGACCTTTGAAAAAGCATGACAGAGAAACCATGTCAAAGGCTTCTTAAGTCAAATAATTTCAAGCTTTAATTGCACCGTTGACCTTCATTAGCAAATTTGCTGTGGTTATGGAAATATATTTGCAGTTTTCATCTAATAAGGTCTTATTAAGTTTGATTTAGGCCCGTGTGAGATTTGCAGGTTGTCATTTTAGCTGATTTACTGTAGAGAAACATTTCACTGTGTTTTTAATGCTGAGGTTGGTCTGGGCTGTGTTCACTTTAAAGCTCATGTGAGAATCTTTCAGTTTGTGTCAGTTCTGGCAGGACTTGCGGAAAAGGTCTAAAGTTATCTTTATTTTATTATGAATCTATTTATTTTTATAACAAGGCAATGAGTTCTGTTGGTTTTTTCTTTCTTTTTTTCTTTTTTTAATTTCTGTTCTGATCTTGTCCTTTACATGCATGACTTGTGTTTTCTGATAACCAAAAGAAAAATGTATGATTTCTGTTAACACTTTAATGTATCACACTGGGCTGAGCCTGGATGGAAACTGTATATTAAAACTGTTTAGGCAGCAGTTTTCTTCTATTTAGTTGATGTCCACTCAGCTCCTTGAGTGTTTTAACATCCCTCACTGTCTCTGTCTCTTTTCTTTTGTCTGTTGGTGGCTGATACTTTTCTGCTTGTTATATAAGTATATCAGTTGCACAGATGTGTAGAATGAAACCCTTTTTTTTCTGGAGAAAAATGTACTCAAAGTGCTTTTTAATAATAAATCCTACTATGAATTCCCCCCTTTATGGGCCTGCCATCTTTAAGTTCATGGTGTTTCCACAATATGATATATCAAAGATGAACTTCTAAACTGAATAAGTAAATGCAGATGTTCAATAATAATGAAACAAAGCTATTGTGATTTGTTTTGGAGCAGAGGTGTCCTAAAATCATGGGGGAACATGCATTACTTAAGAAATTTATGTACCCCATAATTTGTATATGGTCCTCGAGTTTAAACATAAGCTGATTAATGAAAGTCAAATGAAAACGACACTGAGCTAAGATGCAGAGATTGATTAGTTACATGTTCAAGCTATAAAGACCCAAGATAACACTGAGTGCATTCCTGTTGCTGCTCACAAATAACCCTCTCAGATGTGGTTGTAAACGGTCTCTGCAGTTTTAGTGAGAATAACAGAAATGTAAACATCTGTGTCCCCTGAACTTTCATACTGAAGTGCACAAGCAGCAGCTAAACAGTAGAAAAACACAGAGAGTCCTCTTTAATACAGGTTCTGAGGGGTCCTCTGAGATGTTAATCTGTCAGCAGAGAAACACATCTGGAGCTGAGTGCCGTCTGACCTGAGAGGAACTCACTGGGGGTACACAGAGCCAATACAGGTGTTGTTATGATTGTGCCAGACTCAAATTTCACATCACTATTATACTGAAAAAAACAAAAGATAGTCTGATTGATTTTGTGACGGAAGAAAGAAAATTCTCAGTTGAAGCTAAATTTTGTTTATGAGGTGAAAGAGTGAGATAAGTTTTTTTACTGCGCCTGTATAAATGAAAGAAATAACGAAGGAAAGTTTCCAATCATACCAGTAGTTTGAAATAAAAGTTAGATGTTAAGCTGGTCATTTAACTTCGACACTGGACTGTAAAACCAAAGTAAAAAAGTGAATATTCAAATAGGACAAATAAAAGCAATAATTACCGTCTCAAAGGTGTTCATGGATTAAGCCATTAAGGAAGAATATTAATCAGGAGAAGTAGGTAAGAAGCTTTTTAGCCTCTAAAATACTTTTACTCTCTGACTTCTGATTTCATCCTTTATCAAATTAGGCAAGTTTGATGAACACTGAATAACTTCCTGCCTGCCTTCCTCTGTCTCCTCCACCCTTCACCCCTCCTCTTCATCAAAGGAGGGAGGGGTTGGAGCCTTGGAGGGCAGGGATCAACTCTGTAGATTCCTCAGACTGGGAACACCGAGACTCAGGACTGAGGAGGAGTGAACTGCCAGAAGAGCAGACTGGAGCCTCTGGATAACAGGTCTGGAGCTTTTCACTTTGACAGAGAGGACTGGCACTGTTGAAGATGACTGGACTGTCACTAGGGGACCAAAAACCACCAAGTTAGGGGATTTTTTCTCTGTCCAGAAAGCTAGAGAGTTACTGGAGAGTTTGATCTGAGAAGGACACACATAAGAGGACTACCTCAGCTAAGAGAAAGGTAAGTAAAAGTTTAAACAGCTGTGATTGGAGGACATCAATGGACTGATGAATGGACTAATTTAAGGACTCTATGAAAATTATTTCATGAAACCCTACTATTTAATTAGGAAAAATCGCAAGACCACTTTGTCCCTGCAAGTAGACTGAAAATATAAAAAGTATTAGATTAGTACAATGTATCTAGTGCACCTAAATTAAGAAAAAAAAAAAAAAAACTGGAGAAAGGCTCAGTGGTTAAAGCAGTTCAAAAATGATCATTTTTCACCTTTTATTCAAAGACTTTATTTGAACCTCTATATTTAGACCATGATGCGGAGCTCTGCCTCCATTACCAGATTCATCTCACATTTGCACACATATTAAAGGTTATTTTAAAGCTGCACCTCACATGTCTAGTGACTGAAATAACTGTGAAAAAATTAGCAATGCGTCACAGTCACCATCAAAACTTTGCATGCACAGTGGTGATGTGAACACCCAACATCAGTATGCTGAAGTATTACGTGCCACCATAATCAGGCGTATACGATGGGCTGCCACATATTAATAACCCTCAAAAACATCCAGAGGTCACACAGCCTCAAACAACAATACACATGCAGAGTTTTTTTTTTTTTTTTTTTTTTTGCTCTTACTAAGGGGGAAAGTTGAAAATGGCACTCTTTGTGATGTCTCCAGGCCTTTTTTTGCTGATGTCCTATGGCATAAAGGTAGTTCATTTTTTGTAAGGAAGATACAATGCGCTGAAATTGTGTCTTTAGACGGATATGATTTCGACTAACTGTGAAAAATCTGAAATTGTTGAAACTGAAGTGTATTTAAACTTTTGAAAAAGTCACACACACAAATCATTTCTGACCTCCCGTCACCCCTTGAATTAATCAACTGCTCAATTAATTTGCCAGAATTTTTAAAATGAAAGATGTGTTTTTCAATATAGCTGAATTTTAGCCCAGTGAAAACTGGTTGAAACTGAATCTTATATTTTATGACATGATTCCTGTTTTCAACCTAAGTGTTGAGAGTGTAATTGGTGCTTGCTGGCATGTTGACCCCATAATGGATAGATGGATGGAAGAGGATTGATGTGGGAATGGATGGAAGTTGTTTGGAACAAAATGGGAAACTGTAGACTTGTGTTCCCATACCAGTTCACTGGGTCCAGAAACATTATGTTAATCCTATTTCTTTAGAGGGGCGGTAGCAACAGCCGATTATTTTCGTACCTCTGGAAGAGTTGCAGCATGTGACCAAGTGCATGGCGGGAAAATTTTAAACAGATAGCGGCATGCATAAGAAAGAAACTACCCATGAATACTTTAGGTGCTGTTTTTCATTCTTTTATTGACAAAAATGCATCATCCAACTCATTGAAATGACCAATATTGGACCCCATCTGCTGTAGGTGCCATCTTGGTTGTTTACAAATATGTCGAAGTGGCCCCCTAGTGTCCTAATCTTTACAGAACCTGCCCCACTTTTAAATAAAGAAACAAAGGCAGGCCCAGGATACCAAGGAGAAATCCTGGTCTCAGAACCGAGAAAATTAATAAAAGCTTGTTTTTAGGTAATCATGAAATAAGCAGCATGTTATCAGAGAAAACTTTGAATGCACAACAACTGTATGTTTAGCAGTAAATCTCTAGCTGTATTTGGATGTTTATACCTTCATTTCAAAGTTTGGAGTTGTTGTTTGATGTAATGTATATAAGCTACAACTTTCTGTATATCTATTTAAGTTAAAACTCCCCACTGTGCAAAGAAAAACTCAAAAAATGCAAACAGAACAAGACAACACCTATTGATCTCCTCAAAAAGGTCAGACTACACTGTCTTTTTCCAAAATAAAAATGTGAAATTGATCTAGCCTTCTCTTTATCTCTGCCTCTCTATCAAATAATTTCTGCACAGTCTGAAATATGAAAATAAAAGCTAAGTTATCTTGAGCCATATAACAAAACTTTCATCCGAAAAACAATCAAGAGGGTTTTGTTTTTACATGGTCTGATACTATTCCAGTAGCCAGAAAGTGCCCTGAATGAAGTGTTTTCTTGCAATTTGTATTCCAGCCAAGCTCAGAGGATCAGTTCAGCCAACCTCATTGGATAAAAGCCAGAAAACTCAAAGATGGAGACCCGTATTTTCTGCATGGGGATATTACTGTTGGCAGGCCATATCCTTGTAGCCAGTGGTCAACCAGAGCCAGCACAGCAAGCGCCCCAGGACCCTCCTAGTATCACCCAGAGACTTGGACTTGTAGAGAGGGATGTGCAGGGTCCGATGAGGTCCAACATCACAATGCCCCGCCGGCGGCTTCCTCCAATGTGCACAGGACCCACAGAGATCAGAGACACCTTCAAGTATATCAACACGGTGGTGTCCTGTTTGGTGTTTGTCGTGGGTATAATCGGTAATTCCACTCTGCTCAGGATCATCTATAAGAACAAATGCATGAGAAACGGACCTAACATACTGATTGGGAGCCTGGCCCTTGGAGACCTGCTGCACATCATCATCGGTATACCAATTAATGTTTACAAGGTGAGTTATAATTGCTTAGACACTTATAGGAACAGACAATATTTATATACTTTAAATATTACAGCTAAATAAAACGTGTATTGTAGTATTCATTTATGATAGGCATCCAAGTCCTTTCAATCCTCACAGAAACCAGCATTATACCTCACAAATCTAACTCTTTATTGGTTTGGCAGGTGTGCCACAATAATAACACTCCTTAAGTCCCTTTGCTTTTTAATTATCTTTTGGTTTTCTTTTGTGGTGTGTAATATTCCTGGTTATTACCTTTGTGCAAACTTTGACAGAATAACTCTTTAAGGTCTTATGTCATTATTTAGCTACATATTGGACTTTAAATCCTCTGCCAACATACCACACGCATGCGCACGCACACACATACACACACTTTTGAACAGCAGCTTTGAAGCAGATTTTTAATGTTATTACTTTACCTGATCTTGAGCCTCTCCTTATCCCCTTTTGTCTCTGGCATGTTAGAATGGTTGGGCTCATTTTGTGTGTGTGTGTGTGTGTGTGTGCGTGCGTGCATGCATGCGTGCGTGAGAGAGAGAGAGAGAGCGTTTCTGTATATTTAGGTAAGGGTGCAACCACGTTAAAACAACTAGTCATGGCTGCATACCAGAGCACAGGCAGGAGAGAGTGGGTCATATGCAGAGATTCAGGGCTAAATATGATTTCAATCGATTTACACACACTATCTGGTCTACCTTTCATAGCAGACACATTGTACAGGTTAATTTGAGTTTGGTCAACAATCTTCTCAGCTAACTTTAAGAGCTACTGTGTCTCTCAGGGGTTTCGGTCCCTGGAGGTAAGCCGCCCTGTTTTCAATAAAAGACTGACAGTTGTGTTAAACTTGATAAAGAGGGATGGAAAAAAAAAGCCTGGGTTTTCACAGAAACTGATAAGTTCAGGTTTATGCTTATCTTGATGCCTGTTCCTGGGAAAAAAAAATATCATGGGGCCAGACGATTTTCTTCGGTCCCTGTCATGGTTTTACTCACTCATGAACTGTTTGTGTCTCAGCTCCTGGCGGAGGACTGGCCTTTTGGAGTGACTCTGTGCAAGATGGTGCCGTTTGTCCAGAAGGCCTCAGTGGGGATCACAGTGCTGAGTCTGTGCGCTTTGAGTATTGACAGGTAAGCTGCACAGGCGACACTAATGGGTGATAACCTTTCCACCAATGATAGCTCCTGTTTGCTTGTTCTGACGTGAACCCATCAGTCAGGGATTACAGAAACATGGTGGGGGGGCTTGACTTTTGACCCCTTTCCTTTTTGCTTATTTTCACAGTCATAATCTGTTGACTGACATATTGTTAAAGAACTGCTGCTGCACTATAACAGCCGACTATATTGTGAGTTGAGATAGTGAGTGAATATGTAATAATTGAACAAATGTTAGTTATTTTCAGTTATTTTCATGTTCATAATCTTTAGATGTTAGTCTAGACTACACAGCCCTCAATCCATTTAAAAGAAAAATAAGGCTAGAAGACAGAGGGGGAGACATGGGATACTCGAATGGCCTGTTTCCACTCACTGTGATTTTGCACTGGCAGCACCACAACCTTTTTGTAAGTGGTGCTGAGTGATTGTTTAGTCTGCATTAAAGTGCTGTTTGCTTATTTTGGTAAACAATCAAGGGAATTTCACTAAGAAAAATGGAAATAATGGAAAAGATTTTTGTCCTGGAATCAGCAGCAGCTCAGATCTGTATGTTGTAGACATGAAAAACTTCTCCACCATTGTTGATGACAACATTGATAATGGAAGTCCCAGGCCTTTTGATTTTAAACAGTAGTGTGGGAGAAGTGATATTGACGAGTGTGCTGGTTTAAAAAAAGTTTAAATTTTTTAAAATCAGAGTTCTGTGAAGGCAGTGACAGAAAAAGCGCTAACACAAGGGACATTTTTGTGCAAAGAACACTAAGCACCCAAAGTGGGTGCTGTCAGCCCGAAAAACTGCAACCAGAGGACACAGGCCCTCAATCTTGAGATCTCAGATACATGGTTCTGTTAAGGAAGATGAAGTTACACAAAAACTGTATAATATCTTGGGAATTAAACCCTATTTTTTTTTGTTTTTAATGATTGCTAGAGGAAAAAAATTGACGCCACTCTTTTTGGTGTATTGTAGCCTAACTTATTGCAAAAGTAAGAAATGTGTTACTTGGTATGTTGTATGAAATCATGTTAACTTGCATAAACTGCAGTCAAAAATTTACTAAGCTTACTATGTTGGACTTGTTAGCAAAGCATGCTCACTAGCATGCAAGCTTTAGCACATCAGGCTACAGTACAAACATAAGAATAGTAAACAATCTTCTCAGCTAATTTTGATTACAAAGTCAAACTGTGACCTTTCTAAGCCCTGCGTTCATCTTTTAGTTGACCCCAGCACATGTTTGATCTTCCAGGTACCGTGCTGTGGCTTCATGGAGCCGGATCAAGGGGATCGGTGTACCGAAGTGGATGGCTATCGAAATTGCACTCATCTGGATTTTATCTATAATCCTGGCTATTCCAGAGGCAATAGCCTTTGACATGATCACCATGGACTACAAAGGGGAACACTTGAGGATTTGCCTACTGCATCCCATGCAGAAAACCAGTTTTATGAGGGTGAGCTGTGACACACATGTTTTTAGACAGTATATCATTCAATGTGAGGGAAAAAACAGGGTGTTCACACAGCTGCAAGGCTGCAAATATGCAGACAGTGACATGTGCAGACACACATGCTGATGCAGATGTTGGAACACATGCTTTGTATTTCTGAATATATGTAAATACTTATAATAAAAGCACACTCCAAGAATCTTACTGTGAAGTTTTCTTGAGTGTAGAGATCATGATATGTTAAAATGGTAAATTGGGGGAGTTATCACTCTCTTTACCGTCAGTAAATACAGTCCTGTCAGCGTGTACAGTCACATGTCTTCTATCAACCTTGACAAAAACAACAGTGAGCAGTTTCAATTCCTTTGAGTAACTTTGATAAATGGATTTTAAAATACAAGGCAACCTGCCTGAATTGGAGACACACCCAGGAGCCCCTCACTCAGAAAAACTGGGAATAGGCAACACTAAATTACTCTGACATGTTTCACCCTGGACTCAAAGCTGTCTTGAGTAAATGTTCCTCATAATAATAAAGCACTGTTGTTGCATTTCTCTTTGTGAAGTTCTATAAAACAGCAAAGGACTGGTGGCTGTTCAGTGTTTATTTCTGCCTGCCATTGGCCGTCACCGCCATTTTCTACACTCTGATGACCTGTGAGATGCTGAGGAAAAAGAACGGCGTCCAGATCGCCCTCAGTGACCACCTCAAACAGGTTCAATAATTGTTTTTATCTAGTTTTCACTTGTGTTAATGAACATTGATGGTCCTCTCACTGAGTGCTTGAGGTTTAAATTTCGTTTAAGTTTTCCAACACAGAAATAAGTCACAAGAGCTTTAAAGTTACACTTGTGACTTTTCACTACCTACTCTAATCTGACCTAAAGCAATTTCGCACTCTGACTTAATTTGTTTTCATTTCCGGAGTAATGTTGATACAGAAAAAATTCCCAGGACACAAGACTCTTTTGTGTCCAAATTTCATCGTGAGCAGCAACTGCCAGCACAATCTGTTCCAGTGATTTATTAATTTTGGTGTGTTTCCAGCGGAGGGAGGTAGCTAAGACAGTTTTCTGTCTGGTTCTGGTCTTTGCTCTGTGCTGGCTGCCTCTCCACCTCAGTCGTATCCTGAAACTCACCATCTATGATGAGAAAGATCCAAACCGCTGTGAACTGCTCAGGTATGAAGGAAAACACATCATGCAGTGCACACAAACAATAAAACCGAAGTGATGATTCGGTAGAATAATGAGTTCTCTCGCATGAACAAAGACGAGGACTAACATGTTGTTAAACTGATTTTGTAGTTTCTTCTTGGTGTTGGACTACATTGGCATCAATATGGCGTCTGTCAACTCCTGCATCAACCCAATCGCCCTCTACATGGTCAGCAAACGTTTCAAGAACTGCTTCAGGGTAAGTTGAACCTTGATCCGGAAGAATATAAATAAGTGGAACGATAACAGACCTTACAGGCTAAGTTAAAGTGTTCAAGTTCAGGACTTGGACCTGAGTCCAGCTTGAGCTCTGACTGTCAGGGCCTGTCACCTGACTGTATTCAGACTAAGAGGATGGCAATGACGTAAATGTATTCATTGATATGGATTGTTTAATTTTTTAAGGAAGATTTCTTAGTAGCTAAGTCCTGATAATTTATACCATTTGAAACGAGAGTTGTTACATGTGTTCCCCTACATATTCAAGTGATGGCTTGTTCATCAAAAGTTCCTGTTAGGGTGCTTAAAGAGGCCCAGTTTGATTTTGAAGATTTTACAGTGAAGTAGATTTGACTTAGGAATCCACTTAAACACTAGGGTCTTGAGACTTGACCTGGGGCTCTTACATACTACCATTTCAAGGCAGGATATTTAGGCCCCTGTTATGTCAGGTCTGCAATGACTATAGGCAGGATGGTGGGTTGATGTCGTCATCTTTAATTCCTCCTCAAAGGTATAATGATGGGAGAACTCCAGTCAAGCACTGTTGCTGAACTGCAGTGTGTAAGAGGCTAGTGACTTAACCACAATGCTGCCTGTAGAAATATTGTGTCATTTGAGAACAAACTATAACGCCCTCTTGCACAGTCTACTGTCAGTTTGATTATTGTATAGCTACCATAGCATTGTAGCTGTTAGCTCACTTAGGCATAAAGAATGGAAATAGAGGGAAACAGCTAGCCTGACTTTACTCAAAGGTAAGAAAGAAATCTGTCAACATGCACCTCATGAGCTTACAAAGTTAGTCTGAACAATTTAAAAGAGGAAGAGTGTGGGGGGAAGACATTGTGTTTCAGCATCACGAAGAATGTAAAGATGTTTGAGTGTCGTGAATCCTCATAATCTTCTGTTCCTCTTTCCTCCTCTAGTCCTGCCTGTGTTGCTGGTGTCTACCAGCAGAGATGCTCATGGATGACAAGCAGTTGTGTACAAAGATGAAAGTCACTGAACGAGCTTCAGACCAGAGTAACTCCCGCATGACCAACAAGTCCACCACTGCCTGAAGAGAAGCCCCTCAGTGAGATCCGGCAATAAAGTAAAACAATTTATTGAAGTATGGATGATTTGATTGGGATAGGTACAGATTCTTGCTTCATCTGGGACATGACATGAAGTCTTCCACAATTTGAGAGATGAATAAATGAGATGATGCGTCTTCAAACTTAAAACTCTGAACACATGCCATTTTGGACGGCTGCATGAAAATCTTGTCTAAGAGGAAATGAGCAAAAGTACACACAAGGAGCCATTTATCTGGATAACAAGTCTGTGATTTGTGAAGCTGGATAACTTGTGCTATTAACACCAAACATTACGAAGAGTGCAATTAAACAGAAGTGTTAGGAAAAATGTGGGTTTAGGGTGGGTTAGCAAAAGTAGCTCATCCTGGATAATGGACATGTGTGTTGAATCTGGTGGTAAGACTAGCATTATGTAGACTTGATTTGAGAGTGTGATGCTGTGCTACTAACTATTCAAGGTCGGTATGAATTAAGTAGTACATGTGATTTGATACTTATTTTGAGCTATTCTGAAACCACTTTTTTATTCCTCAAAGTTACTCCTGAAGTACATTTATACATTGTTTGATACCAAGTTCCATTCTGATACTTGTGTGTAAAAATATCAACATTGTTGTTATTATTCTTATTTAAAAGTTTTACTCTTTATGACTAGCCTTGTATGGATATTGAGTGATTTCTTTATAGTCAAATGGACTGAGCGCTAGATAGAAATGCTAAACTGAAACCAAGCTGAGCTAACGTCAGTAAATAGAAAGAGTGATATTTAACATTTTTCTTTTAAAATCATTTCTATTGTTTAACCTGTTTTAGTTCTAGATTAAGTTTTTAAAAAATAGTCTAATAGTGTTTTGGTAAAAACACAGAGTTTGGAATAATATTTAGAGGATGGGTGGTTTGCGAACTCAACTCCTGAAAGGTTGAGCAAGACCCCTTCACTTTGTGTTTGACAAGTTTGAACTCTAAGAAGTTAAGAGTTTGCATAACCCCCTGCCCCCTCTACATTATCCTGCTACCAACAAAAACAATTTACTCATACAGCTTAGAAAAATTACTCCCATGATTCCAGTGTTGGCCAAGATTCCCTGGCAACAAATTCTTATTAGTCCCCTAGCTGAGCAAATGACATGAAACTAAGTCATGGTTGTTGCAAGTGTTGCTCGTCCTTTTGATGAAGTAACTCTAGAAATCAGCAACTTAGGGATTCTATCAATAGGTCTGCTGCAGGACCTGGATTGCAGGACAGGATAGTAAAAAAATAGTAAAAACAGTCTGAAACTGTACTCATGTTTTTTCCTGTTTACAGATTTAGAATGCTAATGTAAAGTTTTTGCCACAGTGTCAACAGGCAGAAATAGAGCCAAAGGGTCTCCTTTACACAATTTGTAATCTTTTTTCCAGGCATTGCCATGTTGTGGGTTTTTAATAGGGTGACAAGACATCCCTGGTTTCTGGAGACAGTTCCCGTTTTGGATGACCTGTCCCCTGCTAAAGCTGTCCCCGATTTTCGTGTTCCATGAATGACACAAAAATGTTGTATGTAAACTCGAACATAGTTTTTATGGTAGCCGAGCAGGTAGGAAGCGTGAGTGAGCATGTAGCGCACAGTCCTGAACAATGCTCTTCAGAAATAATAAAATTTTGTCACCATTGGTTTTAACTCATCAGAATCAAGCATTTAACAAAGTCATATAGTAATTGCTAATACCTTTAACCAATGCTTAGTTTCTCTCTCACTACTAAAAATAGTATTTGGTTATGGTAGCTTAAATAAACACAACAGCTGTGAAAGCTAAAGTTTCGGTGAAAGACTCTTAAGGGGCTATATTTATTATTACTGACTGATATACTTAGTGATAACTAACGATTCAGACTACATTGGTAGATTTTTGTAACTCATATTAGTCTACTTTATTACCTAATGCGTTTATTATGTTTGTGTGCAAGTTTGAATTGTCTATTTTTCATTTTTCAACATCCTTGTGATATTTTTAGTGTTTCTAAATGCATTGTTTCCATGTGAATTTTCCACTTTTTACTGAACTACTGATGTTTGATTTCAGCTGTGTTATAATTTGACTGTTTTTTATACTATTCAATACTGGGCCTATTATTAAGGCTTTCATGTGCTGTGACATATTTGCTTCAAATTACTTTCATTTGAGTATTTGCTGTTGCTCATGACGATAGAAAGAAGTCACTTTTTTGCATAAGTAAATAAATGATCAATGCTATACATGAGAAACATAACCTTTCTGTGCATTTTTACAGAAAATGTCAATTTTCTACTAATTAATAACTGAAGGTTAAGCTTTTCTTGGTATAGTTGCCTCACTCTGTGTGTGTGTGTGTGGGGGGGTAGTCTTGCATAAAGTGTGGCGGCAGGCGGCATCATGTGATGGTGAATGCTAGCACAGAACATTACTGTGATTTGTACTAAAGTCTTCACTCCAAAGAGTCTCTCTCTCCCTCCCTTTTCTCTCTCTCTCTCTCTCTCTCTCTCACACACACACACACACACACACACACTCAGCTTTGACCTGAGAATGTTCCCTCAGGCCAAAGCAGTGTCACGCATGTCACATTAGCTGTCAAAGAAGCTCTCTGTCCTGTGATCTCTCACCACCCGTCCTCGACTCATCCCTTCATTTTTCCTCCCTGCCTTGACTTCTCCTTCTTTTTCTGCCTGTTTTTTCCCTGTTTTTATACCTCCTCACTAACCTTGTTTTCCTGCCCTTTCTTTCTGCATTCCTATCCCCACTCCTCCCTATAACCCCTCTGCCTCTGTTCCTCCATTACACTTTCAAACAATTCAATGTGGTTTGACATTAAATCAAACCCACCGGCGCTGAGAGCATACCTAAGTGAAATAAATCACATTCTGTACATTCCTGCCTAAACTGTCTCATTTTCTACGCCCAACTCCAAACTGATGGATCTGCTTGTGAAAACTGGCATCAGCCCTCCACTGATGTGATGGATTATCCTCCGTAATCACAGCTATGCAAAAATCAGTCATAGAAAGTTGCAAAGAGAGCTCATGTTTTTCAGGGAGCTACTTACTGAGGTGTCGATTAATCAAAGTGTAATAAGCTCAGGATCAATTCAGAATCTCACATTTTGCTGTATAAATTGTGTGTTTGGAATTAAAAACATTTATTGGCACAGACAGCCAAGATTTATGGTGGTTTGTGAAGCATTTGGGAACTGTCGTAATCCATCATGTGTTCATGCTAACGCTGTACAGATTTAGTGACTTGCAATAAAGAAACAATTCAACACTTATGGAAAAACACTTATTTGTTCTTTAGAAAATTCATTTCATGTGCAGGTTCATACCACTGTGTTGTTTGTGTTAGCAACAAGTTCCCATTTCCAACTTACACAACAAAGCAACATCACTTTAGACTAACTCTAAGAATCTAGGAACTGCTCTTGCATCAGTTTGAACAAGCTTACAAGCCATTTACAATTTCTTAGTTGTGGTTGTCTGCAGGCAGTTAACTTTGTGTAATAGCTACATGCGAGAACTTTGACCCACCTCCCAAATGAAGGTCCTGGGAGTATCCAAACATCCATCACCCAAACCCACCATCAATAGTGAACTTTGGTGTTCTTTGTATCAACAAACTAAACAAGAGTCAAAACCAAATCTTTTGACTGTTTTCAAAGGTCATCAAATTGGCCTACTAACACTTTGCAGTTCATGGTAACACTCACATAACCCATATGTAAACAAAAGATAGTGGGTTTCAATTTTTACAGAGGATCTTTTTTTTCTGTAACGCAAAAGGACTGATTTTTTTTCTGTCTCTTTCAAAGTGTTTAGACATAAAATCTCATCAGTGCACTGACAGCACTGTTGCATCCAAAAATAGTGTAAAAACAACTGTACAAACACATTATAATTTTGATAATAGAACTGTAATTATTTTATGCTGTATGAATTTGTCGAATAAGCAGAAGCTCCATTAACACATACTCAGACCTGCAGACACACACAGTGCTGTCCCGCCCTGCTGGCTCTGGCATTACCCATCGCCACCACCCCCCACACTCTTCCTCTGTTACTACCACACCAAAGATCACAACTCTTTCTATGTGTAACACAATGCAGACAAGTTGTAACAAAGGTCTAAATAGTCTGTCCAGACCTGGTAATTTGTACAATGGTGCACAGTATTATGCATGAACATGCTTAAATGATCGCATTTATGCGTGAACAAGCTAATATCGTGGTGAATCGTGAACTTAGCAGCTAATTTTGAATTTTGAATTTTAATGAATGAGAACGTTAGCTCACTCTAGAGAAGGTAAACAGCCGCTCACTTTCTGGGAGGATCTGAGAGTTGGTAAGTTACCAAGCATAATGTGTTTCGACGGCCAAGGTCAGATGTACGTTCTAAGTTGTGCCAATGAAGCCAATTCTATTGAACATCTAAAGATTTTTTTTTCTTTTTTAACAAATCAGTACAGATCCCACTGGGTTACTGACCCATATGATTTCAGAGAGGTGCTTTCTTTAGAGACTGGAGAGTAATTCACTTTTGTGTTCGGTTGGTGTTTCTTTATCCCAAACCCTTTTATTTTAGAGGATGTAAAAATCATCTTTCCTACGTCATCAGCCACAGAACTGATTTTTTCTAGGTTAAAGTTTGGAAAGTGTCAGTAATTGGGGAATAGAAAGTGAAGTTTAGACGGTTCTGCTGACGGATAATTTAGGTGTAGCCAAAATAAAGTGAATTTGAACTGGTCTGTTATTTAGACCATGAACTTTAAAATCCAAAATTTAAAAAAAAACTATTGATGTGGACTACTTTGTTAGGATCTGTCGGAGCTGAACTTTGAGCTAACTTTTAATATGAACTTGCATAACTCTAATTATTCCATTTGATCCAGGAAGTTGGAAACCCTTGTGGGGAACATCACCTGGACTAGCCCATGCAGTCTGAATTTCTACTTTCAATTTCACCCATTCCAAGCTTGAAATATAAGATGGTGGCTCCTGTTTCAACAGTCAAGTAGCAGTACTTTTGATAGTGTTTAATTGCAACATAGTCTAATTTTGTGTAAAAGAATTGATCGTACCAAAGTATTGTGCATGTTATCATGTTGCTTTTACACATACAGTTCCTGACTACTCTGTGTTGTTACTGCTTGGTATTAGCCAACAGTGCTAACAACAACAGGAGATAATAGATACACAACTTTTGGTCTTGTATCTGAAACATGGCCAGCTCAAATGTTAAATCATTCCTGACCCTGACATCTGACTCCCTAAGTGAGTTGACCACATCACGATCCACACCAAGTCTTTCCAAACACAACACACAAATGTGCAGGGCTGGATGAGGACATTGTAAGTTTTGGGATTGGGGTGTGAACAAAGCCGGTCTGAACTTTTTCTGCTCCAAACATTCTTTACTGTTTTTCTATCCTTGCAGTCCACCTTTGAACACGTTCCTGCGACATGTGCAGCAAACACGTGCCAGCTTACGGCACTCAAAAACCATTAGCAGAAGTTTTCTTAACTTTAAAACATTTGAGATGCAGTAATCCTTTTCTCAACCTTTTGGTGCATACTGAAGTATTTATGGAAGCCAACAGCACTGTTTGAGGCGCAAGTATGCAAATTTATGACACATTAGCTTTCTGTGCTATCAAAGACTTTCTCTTACCTGTTTGACTGCCATTCCTATCTTTTGATCTCATTTAAAAACACAGCTTCTGACAGAAATACAAAAATGAAAACCACATGCGCATATCTTGATGTTCAGGGCTTGGTTTTTCTTAATGTTACAATATTTATTTTGGATTGATAGCACAAGCAGAACAGCTTTCAGTCTGGCATTGCTTCGACTAACATTTGGAAAGAACAAAGAAAATATGCTTTCATTATGAGAGAGAGAGTGAGAGCCAGAGAGAGCTAGAGAGCGAGAGAGTATGTGTGGTTCAGTCATGGATATACTTCAAGGAGAAATGTTGAACCAAACTCAAATTGAGATGTCACGTGTGCTACGAGAACAAAAAATGAAAGTATGTGAGTTTAAGTTGGCACCAAGGTTTTTCAATTTAATTTCACACTTTCAGGACTAGTTGATGAATGACACAAAAATGATACTCATCGCTCATTTTTTCACACATGCTATGAACACATGGACAGAGACGCACATCTTTCTTGGTGGAGGAGGTTTGGGTGAAGCAGGAGGTGGGCATACTTCACTGAGCAGAAAGAACTTACCAAACCTATAAATATAGACATGATGGCTTTTTTTTTCATCCATTTTTACTCTCAGAGGACATTTCGACTTTGTGTCTCAATCCTACACTGTTATCTAAACTCCTCTGTTTTACCCCAGTGTGACGGCAAGTCTATTGGGTCCAGAGTACAAGAAGGCAAGGATAAATCAGCCACAGATAGGCATATGCTATGTAAGTGGGTCAGAATCCAATACTGCAACATCAACAGCAATACACTGCTCACACCAGGTGTATGTCCATGATTGGAGTTTGAAATATTATATAGAGAAAGGATAGTACTGTGGGATTGGATCTTAAAGCTCCAATGAGGAGTTTTTAAAACACTTAAAAAATCATTTTGATGCCTTACATTTTCCATATAAAACATTCAGGATGAAAGAGGGTTCACAGACAAAAGTTGGCAGGAAGAGATTTGTCCTGAAGACGTGCCTCAAGCATGTAAATTACAGAATAAGGAAAGACAAAGACCGCCAAAATTGACATAAACTGATAGTTCCTCACAGGAGCTTTAAGTGGTATTCTATTATGAATTTACTGACCGTTCTATTCTCTCATATCTGTTCTGTCCACTTTTTTCTTTACCGGTCAAAAATAAGGAAAAAAGGCCGGAACATTTATCTTTAATAAAGGTAGTCAGAGCCTAAACTTTAATTTTTAATCCAGTTCAGGTTTATTGCCAAGCAATTTTACAGATACAAGGAATTTGTCACCGTGTTTAAGTGCAAAATCAATCACAGATGTAAAATGTAGATATGAGGACAGCTTTGAATCAGCAGTACTTTTACAGACAGAGAACTTAAACACAACCAGAGAAAAATAAGATTAAGGTCATAAAAACAGTTTTAACATGTCAAAGTGTTATGAAAGGCTGATCATTTTTGCAGGAATGTGCTAAATGAGGAAGAGCAGAAGATTCTTCCAATAAATAAATAAATAAATATATATATATATATATATATATATATATATATACATATATATATATATATATATACTGTATATAGGCATATCGTGTGATATTGAGTTACCCCTAGGGGATCAATAAAGTTCTTCTTATCTTATCTTATCTCTCATTTTAGTTGTGTGTTAATATCATGCATGAAATCTGAGTTAGAGTTTTAAGTTATAATGGGGCTGGATTAGAGTCAGTGACATGCAGAGCGATGGGGGCAGAGGAGAGGGATCTCTTCTGAAAGCATTAGGCCCCTTCACGAAAGGGGATGGTCTCAAAAAGTCTGTCTCTTGTGGTGAGAGGGGTCAGCCACAATCTCATCTGCACACCTTAGGGCCCTAGTGATGTGCAGGTCCTGGAGGGATGGCAGACAGTAGCCAATCACCCCCTCTGCTGAGTGGATGATTCGCTGCAGTCTGACCTCGTCCTGAGCATCACACTGACTATCAGATTGTGATAGAGGACAAGTGAGGGAGAGGAAAGGGAGCCAAACTTTATGTGTTATAATGCACCCACATAAAGAAGTGAAACTGCAACATTACATGTTATATACATTTTTCAGATTAGTTTTTGCTTTTGAATAAAATTGTTTGAGTCAATGTAGATTTTGATAATATATTACAACTTTAATGTGTGTAACCAAATGTGCCCAAACTCTAATAAAGAAATAAAACTAACACTTTAATATTTGGTGAATATAAAATGAAATAATCAAAACAAACTCCTGAAAATAATGCCAATAAACAAGATTATCTAACGCTCATCCCAGGAGGGAAAACAAAGTCCTCCCCCATCCCAGACCCTGTCTCCCACACTGATAATTTCTGTTAAGTCCCTCTATATCTCATGCATGTGAATTTTACAAAGACAAGGTTATCAGATTTATGGCCTGTTGGGTGATTAATAAATGAACTTAAAGTAATGATTGTACTTCTTTTCTACTGGATAACTTGCAGAGAATAATTAACCCACTATCACTCCCTCCTCTCTCAGATTTACTAACAACAAAACTCAACCCTTTGCTACTTTCTCACAGCATTGTGGGAGTTAACCTTGTTTTTCAGCCAAACCAGCACATTCTTGAGGCTGCCTGCTGTTGCAGAAATAAGGAGAAATAGGGGGAGAAATGGAGGAATGAATTGGGGTGGGGGTTCTCTTGATTTATTCTGCCTTATCAGGTCGAGCCCTCCCACTGATCTGGGATGTGTGAGATCAGATCAAAGGTAGATTGAATTCAGCTCCTCTCACATATCTGACAAATAAATGTTAAAACCCTAAAAGCATAACTATTAAAAATAAAGCAGCTGTGAACATCTCTCAAACATTTATAAATACAACATTTCTATTCTTATCTCCATGTTTCTACCCACATTACTCAGCAAACCTAAATCATTAACCACAGCAATGTTTTCTCATGAAACTTGTGCATGCTCCGTTTTTATCTACATGTATGTGAACATGTGACTGTTTTGCACAACAAGCTGATTTATCTTTTTTAGAATTTCATAGAGCGGTTTGTTATGCAAGCATCACAGCGGTGACGCTACGCAGAGACAGTACAGCAGGCTGCAGAGGGCCCCAATCTCATGAGAGAGCTGAAGATTTCCAAGAAACAGATCACACAGCCTGAACCAGACCTCTGAGTTTAGCTGAACCACAACCTAATTGCGCTCAAACTGCTCGTGCTGTTTATTTTAAAAACTAAGAAGAGAGAAAAGGGCGCAAAAGATTGCTTACACTTGTTGGTCGGGGTGCTGGTTCAGAATTTGGCCACTAGGGAGCATCAGGAACTGAATAAAGATCTTTTGGTGCGCCTGTATGAAATTTGTATTCATTTATACTATTTATTCACTTGTTTTTTCTCTCTTTTTATGCTGCTGTTAGCTGTAAATAGTACCAGAAATACTGTAAACCCACTTCACCCAGTTATTTATGAAATATGATGTTTGGTGACCTCACACCACTCATCTGCTGGCTGTCAACCCTAACAAAAACCACTCTCCTGTTTGCAGACCTGTTGCTTGGCTCTCAGCTGCTTTACATTGCAAATACACCCGTGTTTACACTCGCTCTGCTCTGACAATGGTCACTATGGGTTACCTTGACTCACAACACAGGTAACCAATCAGATCTCACAGGGAGGGCAGTTCTGTGCGTAAAAAAGAGGAAGCAATAACTGACAAGAGCTGACGGGAAGAAGAAGAAAAAAATCAATCTGATCTTCACTGATCTAAGGTCTGTGGGAGGCTTGTAGTGGAGGGGTTCAAAAACAGAAACTGATCCCAGGTCTGTGAGCACGAGGGATCTCTGTTTGCCAAAGGGGATGAGGACAATTTCCGCTCCACTTGTGTATCCTCCAGGCAGCTACAGACACGACATATAAACACAAGGTAAGACTATTGCCTATTACTCTATGACAAAACTATACTATGAATATAATCACTAAAATATCCAACATAAAAAGAAAAAGAAAGAGAGTTGTTTTCCACATTTCTGTATGCTGCATGACATGTGCTGAGGTGAAAGTGAAAGTATTTTTCAGGGAATGTGTAGAAGTTTCTCAGCTTGGTTGTTTGACGCAGTTTAAACACTCGACTGGAGATATATAATCAATCAAAACACAGAGGGAAGTAAATGCGCTCTACCAATGCAAGGAAAGTATGAAGCATTTAAAACAAACATTCGGTAAACAAGAATACAACAATGTGACATGAAACTGTTGACATAAAAAGTTGTGTAAAATAAGTATCCATGTGTATGAACAAAAAAAAGGTTGCAAAAGCAGAAGTTAGTTGTGACCACCTCCACACTTCCTTGAATTTAAGTCTCCTACACTCCGTCCACACACAGATACACAAACACACAAATGTCATATTTTACTGTGTTCGTTTAACAGGGCCTGGTTACCCCAAGCAACAAGAGGGGCTTATCAGCTGCTCCCTCACTAGCTGCACTGTTATCAGCCTGGCCTAGTTCACACATACACACTCTCTGCCCCTTTCTGTCAAACACACCCGCACTCTCTCTATCTCACTCTCCTTCACACACACACATAAACACACACACACACACACACATAAACTGGGGAATGAATGTTATGGGGGCTTATCAGTGTCCTTCGGGGCCTGGCAGCCACTTCACAGACTCAGATCGCAGCGCCGAGGCCACAGAGACAAACCTATGTGAGCAGAGTGCTGATGAACACAGGCTGTGTGCTGTCAGGGACGCACTCTGTAGAAGCTGCAGGCTGCAGGGCACGCTCACAATGAACATACACACCAACAATGAACTTGTACACACACAAGGCACAATGGCTGCCAGGGGTGGATACCACTCAAAGCAAGAAAACAGGACGACTACAGATGTTTTGTAACGCTGTGATATCACTTCAGCAGACTCTCGAAGTCTGTGAAACACTGTGTTGTGTACTACATATGTGGACTCTCAAATAAGCGGGGCAGCTTTCCAATCTGGCACTCAGAGCCTGATTTACAGGTTAGGATGTGGGGAGAAGTTGGTAATTATAAGTTTATGACACTTAGTTTGGTATGCAACCTGAAACTGTCACAATAGATATTAAAGAGTAATTAAATTATATAACCTAGATATACTGTCATACAATATGATACAGTATGGCACAATACAAACATTAAGAAACTCGAGGTTAAAACATGATACAACACCACACAATAAGAGTTGCTGCAACACTGTACAGTAACATACAGTACCATACCATCTGATACAGGATGACAACATTCATTCATTCATTCCTTTAATAATTCTAAAAAGGGCATTGAGGTTTCTCCAATTTCGACTGTTGTCAAGATTACATTAAATTAAAATAAGAAAAATGAAATAACGCGCACAATCAGACAGGAAAAAAAAAAACATTCAAATCAATTCAAACAGTCATGGTCATGACTTGAAACACAGTGCTGAGAGATCAAAGAACAAGAAGTTCTCTCTGCAAGAAGGAAGAGCTTTAATCTTCAGTGTGTGTATTGGAGGGTACTTCATGAGTTTGGGGCATCAAAGGGAAATGCAGATTTACCAAGTTCAGTGTTAACACGAGGGACTTTGAGAGCCAGCCAATCAGAAAAACAAGTCATGTAGGCTTCATAATACCACTCCAACAGGTTTGTGATACAGGGAGGCAGCTCAGCAATGAGGGCCTTGAAAATCTGTAGATACCCTTCTCTGTTGTTCAGCGCCAAAAGATACGGTACAATATAAAACAACACCATATGATACAGTACATCTGACACAACAGATTAGAAAACAGCACAGCCAATATGATGCCCACTCAATATGATACCATACAATAAGATCCAACACGCTAAAATACAAAATGGTATGTGCTAATCTACCCTACAGTATGGTACAACACGGTAAGATACAACACAATTGAGTACGATACACCGGATACAATACAATAAACTACACATGATACCAAAAAACTTTACCGTCTTCTGTTGGTAATTTTACTTTACAATGCCTATATAGTTGTGCCCATAAGTATTATTACTACCTGGCTTTCCTGTTTTTACCCTGTCTGTGTGAAATACTGATTTCTGATTGGTCAAAACTGCCTAACAATGGAGATAACATGTTATTTCATGTTGGAATTCTTAATTCAAGTTTTTGTCATGTTGTGGCAAAACGTGTTTTTTTGTGGACCAAAGCTGCTGGACTAAATGATACTGATGTTTTAATGTTGGATACTCTCCTGTAATCCAGAAGAGCTGTTGCCAGAGGGATGTTGTGGAAATTTACATTATCCTTGGTAACCAGTTGAAAAACTATATTGCACATAATTCACATTGCATATCTCACACAGGAGCAAAAAAACATAAATCAGTGAAAAAATATTAGGCGGCTTTATTGCACACTGGCTTAGGCAACATACTTGAACATTTGAATAGAGGTGAGAACAAATAAGATTTTAAAATCTGTTAAATCTATATCATCTGCCTAAAGGTGAAATCCCTAATTGGGAGTGCTGCCTGATTGCTGACAGATTATTTAATAATAAAATTAATCATTTCAATAACATAGTGCAATGACATTCCAGATTTACATCCCTACATATACCCCTACTATCATAAAAGCCGTAGGTAAATAAATGCGAGTATTTAAGATGCTGAGTTTTGTTGTTGTTGTTGTTGTTGCCAGAAATGACATGAACAATTAATTTGTTTTTAAAACTGTGAAAGATGCTGTTTCAGTTCTCATCTCTTATGTAACCAGGATTTGAATTATGCATGCGGAACATTGTTTAAGGCAGGGACTATTCATCCCCTTTTACTCTTCTTTAAAAAGTAAGCCATTCCATATTTCATTCCTTTCCTATGTAAACCGTCGAGCTCCAAACAAACTGAAACATCAGAGGAGCTGTAAATGAGCGAGCCATGCAGAGCTGGCAGAGATGTTGGCAGCGGTCTATAGCAGGAACTCAGGAAGCGGAGCCTCCTAACTGAGCTGTGCTTCCTGTGTGATAACTGACCCAAACATGTTGTGCCTCAATTAAACACACACACACATATAAAGAGGAGAAGACGCACACACTTTCTTTGTCTGAAAAATCCAGGGAGGATGAGACTGTTTAACCAAAAAGAGGATTAATGGGATTAAAACGTCGGAGCTGAATAGTTTTATTTAACTCTTTGGAAAGTTACTTGTTCACTATGAAACTAAATGCGAGCATTTACCTCAACTGAGAGGAGCTGAAGGTGAGTGCAGGTGTCTTTACAACTTACATTTGACTACAAAGAGGAGGTGGCCACTCAGCAGCAGAAGAAAAGACTTAATTCACTAAAGCGGGTAATTTAAACCTAAGAGATACCTTAAAATGAAGGTCAACAAAGCAGGAATGTTCTGCAGAAAATAAGAGAAAAATGATTTAAAAGAGGAGTTGGTGTTTTCTCCAAACTCATGTTTCCAGGAATGTGTGTAACGCCCCTTAAACCTTGAATGTTGTGCAAAGACATGATGTTTCAAGTTCAATACCAGCTGCCTCCCCCTCCTCGCACCACGCACACACACACACACACACATACACACGAACACAAAGCTAGGGCAGGCGCACATTGCAGTGCAAATGCTTCCTTCCTGTTGCTGGTTTGGCCTCTTTTAGTAGCAAGATAAGAGCAAAAGAACGAGATAAAGTAAGAGGGAAGAGACTTAACTGTGCTGCCTGCTGTGAAACTGATCACATTTCTTTATTTAGACATTTTTTAAAAAGTGGATCTGGTAACCACCTGACAGTCTCCTGCAGGTGTTGTTTTTTCACCAAGTGTTTTGCCTCCAACAGCTCTCAAACTTCCCCAGCTTACCACTATACCTCTCAAATTTGTTCTTGTTTCTCTCTCTGGCAGGTTCAGTCAGACCACAGGACAGTTTAGCAGCCCCCACTTCCTCATCGAGAGCTGAAGCAGAGTTTCCTGTGACGCCTCTGTGTCTCTGGTCAATTATTTCACTCACATCACTCCTGCTGTTTAGCAGTGCTGCATGGGAAGTGACCGGCCTCTTCAGTTGTCAGCGGATTTGCTCCGAAACTGGACCTACCTGGACACAAAAACATATCAGACCGGTTTAGTTATTGACAGTATTCACAGAGGGGCTGCGATGCTGTTTAAACACAGTTAAAGTCGTGTGTGGATTTGAGATTTGAAGCCATGCTGCAGCAGTCAGAGCTCATCTTTGACTTTGCCAGTGATCATGTGAACATGTCACAGGTAAGCAGTGATGGGTTATTCAAGCAGAGCTGGCACAAACAGTCCCACAGATATCTGACCAATTGTAATCTGATCTAATCTAATCCTCTGTTTTTGCCTTGCAGCTGGGGTGTTACTCAGATTACCCTGCGGTGATTGTGGAGCAGGTTCCCCACCCACACCTGCTCTCCTATGCAGGTTTAGCGTGTGAACAGACACAGACAGAGCAGGACCACCAGCAGCTGCTCAAAGGTCAGTGCACACAATACACACACACACACACAGACTTTAGTTGCACACACGCTCACACATACAAAGTCCTGCTTTTATTGGTCACATTCACATTTCATTATAGAGGTTCGCCTGCTGTCTAGTCACCTGTTTTACAGCAGTCTGAACCTTTGTCAGGTACCTTTTTAATTGAGTGAGCTTCATACAGACTTAGCGTCTATTTTTGGCAGGAGTGCTTTCTGTTGAATCTGTCAAATCATAAAGTGCATATGGTTTTTAATGCCGGCTTTATGGGGATGAATTACATGCTCTACATTAGTTTACAAAGATTAAGACTTTTCATTGGGACTTGCCAAAAGTTAGTGGTGAAATTGTTAAAGTAAAAAATTTTCCAGCCCTTTACTAAATGCATACAGATTTGTAAGTTAAGGTAATATTTAAAGTTTGAAAAAACGCAAAGATGTTCATCTGGAGGTGTCAGTCAATTGTTTTGTGGTGATTTGATCCGTGTTTTTATAGTTTATCTTTAATGGCTTGCAAAAATATATCAATTCTGGGCTGCAAGACAAAAGTTAAACATAGATGTGCGCATGTCCTGAGTAAACATGCTTGCATAAATGTTACCCACTATACTTTTTTTGGTTGTTTTCTCAAGTCCTCCATTTTTTCCTGATGATTTGTGGATAACAAAACTTGTTTATCCTCTCATCCCATAATAATAGGATAATTTACTGGCAATCTGTGTCGAAAACTAAACTATAGGCTGGTCTGGGCAGGTCAAATTGATTTTTAGGGCCACTGTCAGTCAAACGCCCTAAAAATTGCTTTAACTTTTCCCCTCTTATGGCATCCCTAAGTTAGGCCCATTTTTGTTTTGAGCCTTGCAGATCAGAAGGAATGAATTATGGTCATTTAATGATCATATAAAATCTTTAGGAAAAATCCTAAATAAAAATAAGATAAACCTTTATTCATCCTATCGTGGGGAAATTTGCAAATCACCTAGAGAAAACGGAATAGATAAGATGTATGGATGTACATGTGCTTAAAGTTTCTATATCAGCTGTATTTTCTCGGCTTGTTTGATAGCGCATCTTTATTAAGGGGAAACTATGATGGAAGAATCAGAATCAGGTTTATTTTCAAGTAGGTTTACACATAACCTATAGAGGATTTGTCTTGGTGTTATCCGCTAAAATAAAGGATGCAAAATAGGAATAGAAATGGAAGTAGAAATATACAGAATAGCCAGACATAAAAGGCTTTAACATCAATAATAGACTGTCCTCTCTTTGTAGTGGGGAGCTGTGCAAATGTGCAGGGAGGTGCAGAAAAATGAGTGCCAAATTTAGCTGTGCAGGCGTGAACAAGTCAGTGTGTAGCCTTCTGTGAGAAGTCATTTTTGGGTCCTGTGTACTTCTGTAAAGCAATAGTCAAATCCTCAAGATCACTGTCATGTCAAGTCAGAGCGTGAGAGTCTTTGTCGGGGGTGGAGGTCAAGTGAGGCCAGGACACAGTTTTATCTTATCTCGTGTTGGTGTCATTTTTATCCAGCTTCATACCAAAACGCCCAAACGGGCCCACGTACTGCACGCCTGACTCCACTCCAAGGTTTTGTATTGCACTTGTGATTGAGCCTTTTTCAGTTAATGAAGGCAGCCTGGTTCTGCACATGCGCAGTCGTAAACTTAGCACATGGACGGACCACCCTCGGCAAATATTCAGGAAGTGAAACAAAACATCCCAGGGCTGGCTTGTGTCTGGGAAAGACAGCTAATGAATCATATTAGGATGTAGACGTGGTCATCTCGGGCTACAGCACATATGCTATGGCTTGTTGCTCATCAGTGCTGGGAGTAAAAAGTAAGTTTTACGACCTTTTCGGGATGTTTCTCGGACGTTTTTCTGGTTAAAGCTAACAGTGGAGATTGGGAGCGAGGGGCTCGTCTAACGTTAGCTAGCGGTCAGTGCACAACAACCGCCGCACACACCGTCAGATATGGACATTTGACTGTAAGAGTGCTGTCGAGTTTAGGACAACAACTTACCTGTTGAGGTTCCTTTAAAGGAGCTGCTTGTTTGATCAAGTTTCTAAGTGGTTTTGGCTTCGACAGAGAGAGTTTGAGCTCAAGGCAACAAGCAGCTGTTCACTAGCAGATGTTTTTATCTGCCTAAGAGCCTCCTCACAATACGCTGCGAATAGATAACCATGGGCATGATTGTCGACAGATGTGGTTGATTAAATAACTCATAGCTTCCTGTAAAGTTGTTTATAACACAACAGTACTTCGGGTTGTAAATGAAAAAGAAAAGAAGTATTTATGTGTTTTGACTCTGCACTGTAATTAAGTTTAATGAGTGGAGTAAAAAAGTAGGTCCACCTTGCTGGTTTGAGCCGAGAACAGATAGCTTGTAATAACACTACTGTTCAGTCATCCAAATAGGTCACCCAAGAGTCGGTTTACCTTGAGTCACTACAAACTCAAGGTGCCTTTCTCACTTGAGTGCTCATTCTAAAATAAAACACACATGCAGTAAAATACATGGGGCTTCTTGGGGGGGGAGACCGGGGCTTGTTGTCACACGGGTAAGTTGTCACATTGCAATCATCTTTACCACAAGAGGGTGCAACTAAAAAGTGGAACACTAGTTTTCTTCCTTTACATGGTCAGGGGTTGTGTCCTGTCTGAGAAGAGAAGAGCACATTGTGTGCTGAGATGAGTGCCAGTTAACCATTTCGCACAACCCAAAGTAAAACAAAAACAAAACTTGATGTCAGGATGGTCAGGAAGCTTCTTCCAAATAAAAATCCTAGCAGTGATACATGTTCACTTGTTAGAGGAGTGATTAAGGCATCCTGTCATACCTCAGTCATTGTTCAGTTTAGTCATTTTGAGGTTAGTTGTTACATGTTTAAAAAGGATTAAAATTAACATAGAGAGTCTGCTTATCAGCAGTTGTCCTATAAAAATTTTGAATTTATCTTTACAGAAAAAAAGAGTGGTTAAAGAAGAGAAGAAAGAGAGAAAACATGGTCAGGAATTTCAAAAGAAAAACAGAACATGTCAGTGCAGTTCCTGACGTGATGCTGAGGACAGTCAGGCAGGTGACCCGAGCTAATAAATCAATCTGGAGGACAATAAAGGACATTAATGTCAACTACCATACCTTGGCTCGGTACTGCAAAACATTCACCCCAGCCGAAATACAGAGTCAGACAGCTCTCCAAACTCCAGAGTGTGTTGCATGATATTTTATGTTAACGTTTGTTCAATGACTTTTTCCAGCTCAATGATGAACATTTTCTGTGCCTGACTTTGATGTTCACTTACATGTAAAAAATGAGAACAACAATAATTGTGTCCTTGTTTTATTAGCTGCAAAATCCACTGTGACATCTTACCCCATATAGTGAGACAACTTACCTAATAGTGGGGCAACATGTCACATGTTCACACTATTTGATTGCTTATAACTCTGCACTGACACGAGATATGAAAATGACATGAAAATGGAATATATACCTGAGACTTTTGTCTTTCATCTGGTACACATTTTGTTCCAAGTAATATATAAGAGTGTAAAAAGTGTGACAACAAGCCCCGGTCTCCCCTATTTATTGACCTCTTCGGGTTGCTGTGTCGAAGCCCTAAACAGACATGCCTGCATGCATTTTAATGAAATAATTTTAGTAGTAATTTTAGTTTTCTGACTCTAATCCCAACCCACTTAGTGCCAGATGATGTTAGCTTGTATACCCAGAGTTGCAGAAGCATGAAACAGACTTAGGATGCAAAGGGTGCACCTGATAAAGTCATGACAGCCCAGGAAAAGTAAGACACATTTGCTGGTTGTGTTTGGAGGATCATTGAAAATGACACAGCCTTCAACATATAGCTGTGATGCACATGTTTTCTTTAAACAACTGACAAAACCCTGATACTGCAGGAAACTGCATGCCTGGTCATGGCTCCCATAGGTTTCTGGATTATTCAGTGCCAGAATATCATTTAACATGTTGCAATGCTCTGGTTTCCCTTTGCTCAGTTTCCAGTTGGAGTCATTTGCTGCACCTCCACCATAAACTATAAGAGTTTGAAAAATTGACCTTGAGTATCAGATCAAATCCCCATGGCATGTCTGTATTGCTGTTTCCCTCCAAATCATCAAGAAAAGATTATATCAGCCAACCACTCTATCTGACTTTTAGAAATTCATACCCTTTACTGGAAGATAAGTTAATAATATTTAGGGGGATTTTGTAACAGACAGAGCAAATACCACATTAAAATAGTTATCATTGTGATTATAGTTGTGATTAAACCTATAATTCTTAATAATAGTTTAATCACAATTGTACTTGTGGGAGTTTTGCAAATGAAACTCAAAAAATGAATTATATGGCACTTGCACTTTATAGAGATGGAATTTAAAAAGTGTTTTTTTTTGTGTGAGATAAAATATCATGTTTATCGGTTTAAAAGTACAGTGTGCAGAAATAGGAATATTAGCCATATATTGCAGCCAGACTGAAACGCTCCCCTGTTCACCCCTCATGTTGGTTAAGCCAGTGTGGCCTTTAAGGTCAACAAGCTCCTGCTACGTATGATAAGTATTGGCCTATACTTGTGAGGTTTATACTGTCAAAAATGACTGCAAGTTTTATCATCTTCCCAGTGAGTGGTTTTTCACTGCTTGTGTTTGTTACTAGTTGGTTAGTTCTGTGCTACAGTCAAAACATAGCAGCATGGTGGCAACCATCAAGGAAGTGGACTATGTTGTGGGTATTAAAGTCTTATTAAAATGAACAAAAACAAAATGTTTTTATAGTTTCTATAAAATACTTTAAACATAGTCATAAATATCATATTCTCTACATAGTCTGTTGTTCTTGATGCTCCTTTATACTACATGAGAATCACTACACCTGCTGATAGCAAACAGATATCTATGTGCTGGATTAGAACAAAATCATGGTGTGGCAGAAATAAATGATAAGGGTATAGATTTATGCTTTAATTACAAATCCCACAGCTTGAGATTTAGTGGAAAAACATGTAAGGATGCTGTTAAAAACAGCCTGGCCTTCAGATTGATATGGGTAACGCCTTTATTACTCCAGTCCTTGTGGTGATCATGATTGAACAATACCAGGAAAGCCCATCCCAGCTCTTCAGCACAGTTAAGGGGGACTGACTGATCAAGCTGTGGCAGGGAGTCTGAGATGATTGGAACACACTGGAAATCTCTTGATCTCTTGGAAACGTGTGCTACCTCAAAAGCAGGTTTTGTTGTGCTTACAGCGAAGTGTTGATAAAACAGTTTAAAATCTGTCCTCCTGTCGTGTGCTCAGCAGTAAATCATGGTTTATCACGATGTACGTGGTAGTTTAAATAAGGTTAAGAAAAAAATACTTGAGAAGCTGCTGAAGGATAAAATTCAGAAATAGATTTTTGGCTTTTGACTGGGCCACACCAGCAAAAGAAACATCTGACATATGAAGTTAATTTATTTTGTGAAAACCCAGTTGTATTAATGTGACAATAAACATTTAACAGACACACTCTGAAACATGTTTTCCTATTGTAACAGTAACCATGGCAATGTTTCGAACAGAATTATTTCCCACAATTGAAAGGTAACATTTTGTCTAAGTAGGGGAGACGGGTTGGTTGTCTCACTGGTTACACTATGTCAATGTGTCTTTGAGGGTTTATAACTTGCTGCTAAGCCTTACACTAAATAATAGACTCAAGAGTAGAAGTGTGACAACAGCCCCGGTCTCCCCTCATCTCATTTTTAATTTCCTCCATCTCTGCCACCCTCCTCCACCTGCTCAAAGTTGTTTTTCTCTGCCCCTCCCCTCTCTGGTGCTTGTAGTGGAGCCATGTGAAAGCGGAGAGGAGGAGACCATGGAGACACTTGTTGCTGCTGACTCACTTCTCAACATGGACTGCCCTGACTCCCTCTCGCTGGAGCAGCACTACTGTAAGCCCACACACTGGCATAAAGGCTCTTCACATGCACACTCTCAGAGTGAGAATGTCCTGGTGAAACCTCTCCTCCTTTGCTCTTTGATGCAGGACATGTCTGACTGCGAGCTGTTATTTTTAGACATGCTGGTCAGAGCACTGTTCTCTTTCATTAAATCTGTTTATTCCCCCCTGCAGCCCAGACCTTCTTGCCATCACTGGGGGATGTCATCACTACGCCTGTTACCCAGGTGACCGTGTCAGCAGAGGGGGTTGTGGGACCCTTTGACCAGCCCCAATGGCACTCCTTACACACAGGGAAGCCTGCATCACAGCTGCACTCCAGAAAGAGAAGTCAGTCACTATCATGGTCATTGAAACTTTATTATGTCAACTGTTCTTATGTTAAATATCATGTTATTTTTTGCCACACAGGTAGAAAACCTCGACACAGAAGGGCAGAATCTCCAACTCCTGATATTAAAGTCAAGAAGGACAAATACAATAAAGGTATCAGTACAATGAAATACAAGCAAGTCATTATACAAATGTGACTACATTTCGATGTGATGGTATCATTTGTATAGCACCTTTAATATGCTGCACTCCCAAATCAAAGGCTGTCAGAAAAAAAGGCTTCAGCTGTGCAAGATGCACTGAGAGGAAATTAAATTTTTGACTTTGAAACTCTCTGAAAAGGAGACAATTTCTCTAAAGTGTTTCATTTCCGTCTCACAAAATGATGAGATCAGGTGAATAATACCTGATATATGACCCAAAGTATTATTAATGCAGATTTTTAAAGCTGCTATGAGGAAATATCATTTTGTGCAGATTTTAGCAGCTCGAGTTGTCAAATGCTAATTTTTTTTTCTAGTCCTGCCCTCTACATATTTATGAGGTGTTTTCTAAAACAACATTCATCCTACCTCATAGATAGACAGATGAATAGATGGTTGGATAGAGAGATTGATAGAGAGAATAGTTGCTACACAGTGCGAAATTTTGCAGAAAAATGTGAGAAACATAAACAAAGACGGTCTCAGCAATGGGCTGTCAACCTGGTGGCAGCATTGAAAGGCCTTAAAGGGATATTCCGGCGTAAAATTAATTTAGGGTCAAACACTGTGACACCGAGTTTAGACACCCCCTCAAGAAATGAATGTTGCCGACTGCTTGCTTCTCTAGTTATATCAACTTAAGCAAAGACCGCATAATAGCAATACACAGCGGTCTATGTCTCCACGTGCAAGCCTAAACCAAAAACCTCTGCCCTCTATAGCCACTAATATAGCCACTATAGCCACAAATAATGCTCAGAACAGCACCTAACTTTATCAAGAGTAAGTTTGTTTAACTAGAGAAGCGAGCAGTCAGCAACATTAATCTCTTGATGGGGTGTCTAACTCGGTGTTACGGTATGTTTGACCATAACTCAATTTTACCCCGGAATATCCCTTTAAGAAAAACTAAAAATTGAAATTTCTATCTTGTGGTCTTGATCTTCTCCCTTGTTTAGCTCACATGAAGCCATAATAATAATGCCAGTCTGGCTATTAACCAGTTAGAAACTCCTCATAGTCCATAATCAGATGTGGATATGTAAAATTTTTTTATACAAGATCAGCTTTTAGAAAAACTTTAGCTCACACAGAACAAGAACAAGAACAAGAGGTGAAAAACTAGTCAAGAGAAATTCTAGTTGAAATGAAAGCACTCTGAGCATTAACCCAAGGCATTTATTATTCTTTGCTTTTTCTGTCTGCTTGTGCCAGGATTTTGAAGTCAGATAGCCTATTATGTTTTCATGAAAACCTTATTTTGTGAAAAAGCATAAAAAACTTTTTGGTAAATTCCCTGTGCTTAGCAGGGGGTGAGTGTTCAAGGGGGGTGAGCTTCAAAAGCAGAGTTAGTTTTAAAATCCTTCACGAAAGCAGCCAGTGAAATATCAAAGAACTTTCCTTATTATGATAACTTTCAAGCACAGCTCTTCCTGTAAATGTCCTGTCATGTATTGAAAATAAATTATTAAGAAATATTGAGATAACCAGCCAGTATTTCTGCGAGACTAAACCCATTGTTTGAAATGATGAAAACAGAAATACCCAAACTAGAGGGAGCGCAGGGGATCAACAAATTTAATGACATGACTGTGAAAAACACATCTCTTTTTTTTTCCTCATGTTTCCTGTGTTTGTGCTGCAGGGGGAAACACGTTGTACCTGTGGCAGTTCCTGATGGAGTTGTTGCAGGACCGGCAGGTCTGCCCCCGCTACATAAAATGGACCAATCCCAACGCAGGAATCTTCAAGCTGGTCAACTCAAAAGCTGTGGCCAGACTGTGGGGCAAACACAAGAATAAGCCAGACATGAACTATGAGACAATGGGCCGAGCACTCAGGTACATCAAAAATATGTTACAACCGTATTGAAGTTTTATCATGGCATGATTATTAGAGGTGGGTGCAATTTATTGATGTGTCGATGCATCCAAATGCTTCACGTGACGATTCAGCATCGATAATTAACGTCAATGCTTTGAAAAAAAATAATAATAATAACGTCGATGCTTTGGAGAAAAAAAAAAAGATACCGTTGATGCTTTGCCGCAAGGCCAGAACAAAAAAAACACGTAACCAGAACCCTGACGTGTGTGCTGCCCGGACTGTTTAGTGATTGGGACCACAACAAACAGGGCACATTAGTTTCTTTGCAAAATGGCAACAGCTTCAGCAGCCTCCAAAGAGCGGCAGATTCTCTTGCCACCGGGGTTGACTGCAACCGTGTAGAAGTACTTTGGATTTTATGAGAGAGCAAACAAGATGACTGACAAGCCCTACACAGTTTGCAAAGCAAAAATTAAGTACCTCAACAACACCACAAACATGAGGAAGCGCCTTATACACTTTCATCCCAAAACAGAGAAGGCTCCTCCGGTTGTGCCCGCCACACAGAGGACCATCCTGGAGACTGTCTCCAATCTTCTCAGTTTAAGTTAAGTCGGTCAAAGTGCAAATGTTTACATTACAGCCATACAGTCATAAAATAAAATATTTTATGTCTTACGAGTCAAATGTTCAAAAAACCTTATTTACTTCTTGAGTGTAGTTTTTAGAGGAACAGAGATAATAGATATTATTTATTTACAAATGTAGCCACAAATAAAGACAAAATCAATCTTGTTTGGGAAAAAGCCTTATAAATGGTTGACAGTCGAATCGACAATCATTATAATCGAAGAATCGAAGCTCCCATAATAGATATTGAATCGAATCGTGAGGTACCCTTGTTGGAACACCCCTAATGATTATTCATTCAGTATGTTAACGCGTTGTTTATATATTGATTTGTTGCAGTAGTGCGACTGAAATTTGACTTCTAAAAACCTCAGACCTCTCATAGTTGGACTAACATACCTGGATAATGTGGTTTGGGATCAATTTTCACTTCCATGTATACAGCACAGCTTCAGTTAGACTGAAACTGGCCTGACCGTTCTGCATATGTCCCCAGTGTTTGCACGCCAGACTTTGTGGGTAGTTGAATTGCATTAATGCATGAATAAACCTTGACAGGTAGAGAACGGGCGCAACAAAAAATGAACATCTATCATACGAGCAAATAGTATGGAGCTGTAAGAGTGCTCGTTACTGTGTAGTACTTCCCTGTGTTTTCTTATTTGTAATTAACCCTTAAAAGCTTTATGAAGGTACTACTACCTACATGTGAGGTATGTAACTCATATAACTCTGTGTTCATATAGGTACTACTACCAGAGAGGAATACTGAATAAGGTTGAAGGCCAACGACTCGTCTACCAGTTCACCTCTCTGCCCGAAGACATGATTTATATCACAGAGGGTGACGGCACCAAAGAAGAAGAGGAAGAAAATGATGAAATCGATGACAATAGTGGCAATGACGAGGGTGTGAGTGATGACTCCGATGACAGCACGATACTCTCCAGTGACCAATCAGTGGAGGAAGAGGATTCACTCCCACCAAAGAAGAAGACATCAGCTGGTTCTGTTCACACCCCCTCTGCAGCCCAGCGGTCCAGGCCGGCTCCCAGACCCTCAGCTCAGCGGGACACTGTTCTGCGACCCACAAAAAACAGCCTTATCCAGGAGAAGCATTTACCTATAGTGTCTGCTGAGATGCTGCGGACCCTTCAGAACCTGCAGAAGGTCCAGTCCCTTCAGCCTGGGGGTCACTCCTCAGTCTTCAAGACAGCCCAGCTGCTGGGAAGTCTGTGTGAACGACAGGCTGCTGCTGAAGGCACTGTGGACAGTCGGGACAGGCCGTCAAAGTCAGGACAGAAAACCTCAGAATTGGAGACTCCAAAGCTGGTCCCACTGACCAGCTCTGACCTGTAAAAGGACCAAAGCTTTATTCACCCAAATACACACACACACATACACATGCACTTACACTCCACTGACTCAGGACCAGTAACAGAGCAGCTCTTTTCTGCAGCTGCACACCAGAGCCTTTATTTCCAAAGAGTGTAAAACCTGATTTATATTTCTGTGACGAATCTGTGCAAAGCCTGGATTGCAACACATGATTGATTCATTGATCAACAGGGATAAGTAAAAAAACATTTACTTTGATAGCAGGTTGGTTGTTTGGAGATTTTCAAGCATGGATTTCAATTCTTAGCTGGGCTGAGATCTTCAAAGTAAGAATTTTCAGCTTCTTGTTGTTTTGGCCTCAATGTTGGTGTGTGTGGGCTGTTGGTTGCACCACTGTTGTTGTTGTTGTTGTTGTTTTTTACCAAGTAAGCTAATAGGAACAGTTTTAGGACTTGGGACATCATCATAAGCTCTATTTGGTGTAGATCATGGATGAATTGCTTGTAATCATAAAAATGATCAGATGAATAGATAATGATAATAATCAAACTTGCAGTCCTGGTGAACTTTAGAGGCAAAAACCAAAGCCTACACCAGGTAGCTGTTAGATTTGACTATTTTTCTATATAGCTTGGTTACCTCAAAAATGCCAACTGGAAATGTGTGGTTTGCATCAGGGTTTAATCTAGGGCCAGTGAATCTTAACTTGTGTTGAAAAACTGCTACATAGAAAGTATGCATAATATTTTGCCTAACAATCACCATCTTGGGTTAGTGGCACCCAAACATCAAGGACAGCATCCTCAGTAGTTCTGGTACCAAGCTACCAAGTGCACCAATGACAACTATGCAGTCTAAAGTGTCGTTACATTCTGTTTAAGTTCACTCCAGGCTTTTGCACTGATTAAGCACAAAAGTTCAAGTCAGGCATCACAGTGGAGTAATCCATTCAGGATTGTTTTTTGCATTTTAGATTATTTTATGAATTATTAGCGAAACACATTCTGGATCATTGCATCCCATGATTTGTGAATAAGCAGGAACCAAAACCTTCTGCAGTTTACTTTCTAAGAAGAGGGAAACTATAAAGCTCATGTCTGTAATGTCAGCCTTAAATTCCCCAAAGCCATTAACTAAGCCAAGACACCAAAGAAGACAGTCATGCACTGGAATCTACTGCCTCACTGCACCTTCTGCAGACACTCCTTCTGCTTGCACTGCACCCCCAGCGTCATGCAGCAACAATCTTCTCACCACACTGTGCCCTTGTTTCTCTGCCTTCAGCCTCGCTCTCTCCCACTCAGTTTCTTTCTGTTGTACTGTCACACGCTGAATCATTCCTCTGCCTTGAAAATGGCTTTGCACTAATGTTTACCTCTGCTGTATGTTTCTCCTCTAAGTGCCTGGAGCTGTCAGTCCATCCTGCCCCTGCTTCTTCTCCTGTTCCTGTAATGTTGAGGTTATTGAGGGAAGACATTCCATGTTATTACTGTTTTTTTTATTATTATTATTATTTGTTGAGATTACTGAATTATGTTTGTGTTGTGAAATGCTGAAAATAAGGGATCACTGTTATTTTTAGAGTACTTCTTAGCACTTCTGCTGCTGTTTATAGTTAATGTATCCCCATAGTGGACCTTCCTTTGTTTGACAATCACCAGTGAATTTGGTCGTACAGTCTTTTATTTAGCTACTGTAAACGCTACCATTTAGCCTTTCTGCTATGCACACACTCTGTTTAGTTATGACACATATATATAAATGTGCATATGGACCTCTGAAGCCTTGATATCATTACATGTTGTGTGTTATATACTGTATGTATGTATCTATGTATGTATGTGAATATGCTTGATTTTGTGCCTTGTTGCCATTTTCTCCCTCAGGTGTGTAAAATGTGTTGTGTGCTCTATGCAAGAAGTAAAACAGCTGTCTCTTTGTGATGAAGTAATGCTAAGCTCAGCCTCACATATCCAGCCTACAGAGCTCACCTCTTTATGACAAAAACTTGCACCTGTTTAATATAGGCTGGCCTTTGTGATGCTAAACTCTGTTAAGATTTGTGCCTTTGCCTGGGAACCCTATGCAGAATTGATTTCACTTTGTTACAGAGTAAAGCATAATTTTCCTTCCCCTCACTTTTGCTTCATCTGGAGGTTTCTTAATGCTTTAAGATTTACATATGGATCTGTAAGCCTGTAGCAGAGGGAGAAGTGGACTTTCTGTTGCCTTATTTTGAGCTGTTTTTTCTTTTGTCTGAAAGTGTTGAAAAGACATTAAACAGTGTATTATATTCAATGAGCTTGATTTTATCATTTCACCCTCACTCATTTTGTCACCTATAATTAAAACATACCAGCATCTGTTGTAAAAAGTAGCTCCTTACATTTTTTTCAAGAGATATTTGACATTTAATGGTAAATGAGTTCAACTCCATTTAAAAAAGAAGCCTAGAGCATTACTGTAAAAGTAGAGACCTGCTCTGTACACAGTGCACAATGATAATCTTAGGTATGCTTTAACACAGTAGTACTACAATTAATGTTCTTAATCTTCTCAATTACTGCCTGTAAGTTCAATTTTTTATGGTCTTTTGCATTGTCAGATTTAAATCTTCAGCTTTTTTGTTCCACTTCATGTATTGTTTACTTGACCTACTTCACATGTGCTAATACATAAAAAAACAGTTTTTTTTTTTAATCAAAAAAAGTCTTCATTAATCTGTGATGTCAGTTACAGCATAAGAACACTGAATCAGACCCACTTGAACATTCATCATTCTGAGATTATCTCCTTAAATAAAAAAAATTAAAAACAGAAACAATTTCCCTTTGTGCTTGTTGTAAAAGTTAGAGTATTTTTAAGCTGTTGATTTGCTGCTTTTATGCAAATTATCTGAGAACTTCTTTTACTCACTGCCATACCCCAATACCTCTAAAATAAATACTGCTCATAACATGTTTGAGGTTTAAAGGAGCTGAATAATTATTTAATTACTGTCAACAGATGAAAACATTCGAAACTAGCAAGGACATGTATTTGGTGGATTTGGATTTGCTTCAGTTGTGTTTCTTGTTGCGAAATTTGCTTGTTAACAACAGTAATAAGTCCTTCATGGCAATAGTGTGATATTGAGAAATAACGTAGTTAATTTAAAGTGTTGCTATGAAATGACCAAACCTAGTTAGGTTTCTAAAACAGCCTTTGTGTGTTTTCATGTCCCTGTATTGTATTAATAGGTTTTATATTTCATCTCATTTTTTCCAACGCTGACATGGATCCATAGGTCTGCAATAAAGTTTCATTATCATGCCAAAGCGACAGTGTGTGGTTGCACCATAGACTATGGGTTGCACTCATAGACATTACTGTCTATGGTTGCACTACAGTGGTGCGTTGAGCTTCTATGACTCCTCCAGACCTGCAGGGGCGCTCTTGGCGTTGTGTGAGCGCTGCGAAGTCGGATGTTGACAGGCCTGCTGCTGAGGTTGTGGCTGCTGCCGCTATCACGTTTCCTCAGTTTGTCCACATCTTGCTAGAACTTTCCTGTACCTCAAACATATCCACGGCAACGCCATGGCAACCGAACGGCAAGTACAACCTACTACTTTAGAGTAAATATATCTTTATTTATTTGTTTATACGCAGCATTTTCACCGATAATCTCTCCTCTCGCTTCAGAAGCTTCCCCGATAGCTTCATAGACGAAGATCCACAGAGAGCTTTGCAGGTAAAGATCAGCGTCAGCTATCACATATAAATACCAAGTCTGAAGATTTCTTGGCTCCATGAGGGAATAATGTCAGTCTTCATTTATCCTGAGCTGCTTCTGTGTAAAGAAAATGATGTTAAAACACGACATAGCCAACAGAGTTAGCCAACGTGTCTTGTTAGCTTTACTTTGAATGAAAAGCAAGTATAAGTCCCTTAAAGTTAAATTAACTTTTTTTTTCATATCAACTATGAAAGTGCAGCATTTGTAAAGGTAACTTTGTGTATACATTCAGTTTTACATGTTTAATCAGTTTTAAACTTCATATAACCTGAGAAGACTTTTTGCTTTCAATTTCTGTTCGGTTACTTATAGATTTTACTGCCGGTTTGTTCGGGGATTTCTGCTCCGTTTTCACATGAAGTTAAAGTCGAATTTTTGGTTTGTTTTAGTTTTGGTAATATGGTAAATAAGTTCACAGTGGTACCCAAAAGAAGAGCAGATAAAGTATTGTTTACATAAAACTCAGAATATCAGACCATTTTCAACAGAAGTATTATAGTCTGTGTAATAAGTGCAATTTTAGGATCACCTTGATTATGAATTTCACTACATTACTTATGTATAAAACCACATAAACATACTTCATAAATGTATTTTTCCTACTATTTGAATCTCATATAATTGAGCAATAGAACGATATAGTACAAAACAAATGAACCTTTTTAAAGGTAATTCCAGACAGACTTGCAGTAATACCTATTTGATTCTCAGATGTGCATTTCCACTGCTTGTTAAAATGACCTGAATGTGTCGTTGTCACTGGTATTGGTTGTATTTGAAAATATTGCAAAGAGAGGAGGCAAGTAAACATAAGTGAAAATTAGCAATAAATGTATCAGATTTTTTTCTTGATCTGTTATTTCTCAGTGGTTACAGAAGCTTCAACTTTCTACCTTGTTCGCCTCCACAATAAAGTTCAATTAACACACCATAAACACATTACAATAAATCAACTGAACTGCATAAACAAAGGTAATAGTCGATTTGATATAGCACTTGCACTCACACACACACGGAAACTTTTAGCCACTCAGCCTCAGCTAAATGCCTCCTAAAATAATTTGGATTTTTATGGATAACTGTGTGGTTGGCTTCAAGGTTGGGAAAGAACAGCGTGTGAATGTAGTTAAGAGTTTTTGTGGCAGTAAAGGAAAACCCCCCTCTGCTGATTGGGTGTATTTTAAATACTGAAGAGACCTGTCTCAAACACTGATATCCTGTTATACTAACATGTAGAACAGCGGATAGACAGGAAACTGAGGTGAAGTTGTTTTTTAACATTATATGTGTTTAACTCATGTCTACATATAGCATAATTGAGCAGTTTTACCGTACATAGAAAGGTTTTTTTTTATTGTGCAGGCCTACCTCTAACATGACATCTTTGTTCCTTCAGGCACTAAATGAAGCCTTGCAAGCAGAGTCTGACAACGCTGAGTGGTTATGCCAGCGTGCCTATGCCCACATACTCCTCAAAAACTACAGCTGTAAGTCTGTACGCACGTGTTGGTTATCACACAATGGTTTTCAATAAGAAATATATCTCCATCTTCTTTTTTTGAATGTGTATTGCTTTTTCTTCATTGCAAAAACTGCCTGCAAGTTGAGAGTCAAATTTGGTAGAGTTCAAAAGCATGCGCTTTAAGTAAATATCTGCTACTGTTAAGACATTACTGGAGGCTGTGAGGATGGCAAGAGTATTTTTAAGTGATACATTTTAGATGCAAGTGTGTGTCTTCCTTTCTTCTCAGGTGCAGCTGATGATGCAAAAAAAGCTCAGCAGCTACAACCCAGTCTCCCTCTGGCTTTCATGAGAACAGGGTGTGTATTAAAACATTATTCACACAATGGAGGGAAGTCACAATCACACATACATGGGCTATCATTCAGTAAATGTTTGTAAATGTTCATGTAGATTTATACATAAAAAGGTCCTCACTACGATAAAAATTTGATGCAGAAAATCCAGATTTGATCATAGGCACGGGAAGTTCTTGAATGCTTCAGTCAGCACAAATTCCTGCCCAGGAATGACCAATAAACATCATTTAAGAGGGTGTGGATATGTGCTTTCTGCACCTGAACTTTTTTATGCATGGCACAGAGAAAGAAAGAGAGGAAGAGGAAAAAACTTTAAGATGCTGGGTTAAGAGTTAATTTGGGAAACGTGGCATCATGAGGAATAATTGATTTTCTCCTATGAGTGGTGGTGTTTCACTTTCCTTAAGATTACTGTTTATGCACAGGAGCAGTCCAAGTCCTGTCTTGTTATTATAAGACAGCTCCTGTGGTGTGTAGTGGGCCCTGTAGTGTAGTAACCCTGTTTTCTAGAGACATGTTAGACCACTAACATGTCCACATGACCACTGGATTAAAAAAAGAAACATGTGTAGATACCTGTGGTGGCAGGTAAAAGAAAACAGTTAGTCATTTGCAAGTCTGTGAGTGGATATTACTATACATGTGAGTGCACAAATCTGCATTTGGCTTTTCTTCCAGATCTGACACATAGAGGGCTCTGTACACACACTTAAGGATGTAGACAGGCAATATTCTTAACAGTAAAGCAGTTTTCTCTCTCAGTTTCTTTTTCCAAATAAGTGTTACCTGTGCTGTTGTCCCGCCAGTCCACTGAGCCACAACGTTGAGCAACACCCACTTGACAATTTTTTGTGATTTACAATTTGATTATCATTAAACATATAGAAAACACTAATTAAAAGTACTTCTAAATAACCCATTTTGCATTTTAAACCTTCTCTGAAGCTCAAATAATCTAGCTAAATGTGTTATACTATTTCCATATTTGGTCATGTTTAAAATACATTTTTCAAAAATATCTGCCCTCTGTGAACATGTCAGATCACAAGAAGAATTTTCAAAAATATCTTTTGGTAACGCTGAGCAATATTTATGTGCAACAAGCTCTACGAGTGGTAAGCAGCAAGTGTAAATTTTGTGAGTAGTTACAAATAAATTGGAGCAACTAAAACTTTAATGAATGCCGGGTTGCCTGTAAATTTAGACACAAATTCGCTCTGCCCACCTCTGATCCTTTGTTTTTGGTATGTCTATCAACCAAAACATCCAAATGATTTTAGTTTAAGAATTGAAAGAGTCATAACAAGATGAACAACTCCAAGAAATACACATCTTTCGTGAAGGTGAAACTTTGGGGTCACTTAAAAAACATGTTTCCAGGACTCTGTGTTGCTCAGACACACTTACAGTTTCATTTTAACTCAAATTTAAAAAGTTGTGTGAGAGAAGTTGAACTTTTACTAGAAAGCCACAAAGTTTAGGTGCCAGAGTTCTTTGGTGTTTGTTTGTTTGTTTGTTTTTAACAAGGTACGCAGTCCAAACTGTGTGTGTCAGAAGAGGTCACTTAAATTTCACCAATATTATCACATCTAAGTGTATGTGGCATGTTTTTCTTTCCCACCTGCAGAATAGCAGAATACCACCTGAACTACTATGAGTCAGCACATGCAGCGTTCTCTCAGGGACACCAACTGGATGGTGAGTGCAGCTTATTTTGGCCTGGAGTACAAACTTTCTATCAACCCACTCTACCAACCTCCAGCAGGGCTCAGCAGTGCCCTGTCTGCTTCACTCTCCTCACTGAATACAAAGTGCTAAACCTGTGTCACTTAGCTGTAGGAATAAAAAACAATGCTGGAAGAATCTCGAACTTTATGGTTTTATTCTGCCTCCACTTTTCAGCTGAGGTCAGAGGCATTATATTTTGGGTTCTGGCTGTCCATTTTGCAAATTTTTTATGTCAGTAAATTTTAGGAGAGAATGTCAAATTTTGCACAATAGTCCTTTCCTGGGACAAACTGATTAGTTTAAGATCAACATTGAAATGAGTTTGATCTGCACACATTTTTGAAGTAGTGACACACCAATTCTGGGAAAATCCCACACAAATGTTTCATGGTTAAAAATGACATGGTGACATTTTCTTCATACAAAGCTCAATCTCTCCGTGAAATCATCATTTTATTGAATAACAGTTTTCTGAGAAAATTTTAATCCAAATCTTTCAAAAGCGATTTCTCAGAAATATCGTGTGGGAACACAACCATTTCAAGTTTTTGGTTCAAGGTCAATTTGGCAGTGACTGAGTCGCTCACTCAGTTTTTTTCATTTGTTCGTTTTGTTTTAAATTCAATACATGTGATTTATGTTTGTCTGAGAGCACAACACAAGTTGTGATTATTTATTGGACATTTTTTCCTCAATCTGCCCCTTGTAAGTCAAGAGACATTACCTGGAATTACAGCCTAATTGTACCTACCTGTAGTTCATCCTCTTCTGTTTAATGCTTGCCTACTTATGCAATTATTTTAATGTAGAGGAAGGCTTTGTGTTTTTAATTCTAATCCAAAAATATATCCTCTCTCACAACCGTCACAGGTATTAATTTGTGATTGTCTTGCTAAGATATTTAATATGCAAACCAAGTCAATGGTTTTGGTTTTAATTTAGCTGTCCTCTCATGAATTTTACTTGTCAATGTTATCTGCAGAGAGCATAGCCACTACTGAGACGATATTCATACGGCCACTTCTGAATAATCCCTGAACCCAGTTTGTCCATGATCTGTGCTGATCACTAACCATACTAAGGGTTGCACGTGATTACTGGATTGACGGAAAATCTATCAGATATATAAATTATTCCATAAGAGTTGGAATGTTGAATTTGATGGTTTGCAAATCATTTGAAGTCCTGTATTTGATTGTAGGTAGTGCATGTGCTACATAGTAAGTGTTGAAACAGAAATTAAAATTTTTTTTTGTTTGTTTTATGAAAAGTCTAGGCAAATTTTAAATTTGTAGCACGTGTCGAACCATAGGGAAAGGGGCAAAAAAAAGTTGGATCTAAGAATATTTTAGTTTTGTAAATTACAAGTCAAATGATGCAAAGAAAATACTGTTTACCCTATATGATACTTTTGCAATCAATAGACAAGGAAGACCATAAGAAAATGGTATTGTCCCATGAAGTCAGGACATTGTGTAAAACGTGAATAAAAGCAGAGTACAATGATTTAAAAATCCTTTCCCTCCAATATTCAATTAAATACTCTTCAAAGACAAGATACTTAATGTTCAAACTGATCAAATTAATGTTTATTTGCAAATATTCACTCAATTTGAATTTGATGTCTGAAACACGTTCCTTAAAGCTGGGACAGGATCATGTTTACCGCTTTGTTACTGTCCTTTGAACAACACTCAGTAAGCAACTGAGGACACTAACTGTTGAAGCTTTGCGGGTGGAATCCTTTCCCATTCTTGCTTTATGTACAAATTCAGTTGTCTAACATTACGTGGTTTCTGTTGTGGTATTTTGGGCTTCGTAACGCTCCACACATTTTCAGTGGGATACAGGTCGGGACTGCAGGCAGATCAGTCTCTTTGACTATGAAGCCACGCTGTTGTAACACGTGCAGAATGTGTCTTGGTGTTGGCTCGTTGAAATAAGCAGGGGCCTCCCTGAAAAAGACTAAACTTGGATGTCAGCAGATGTTGCTCCTAAACCTGTATGTACCTTTCAGCATTAATAGAGCCTCCACAGATGCGACAGTTAGCCATGGGCACTAACACACCCTCAGACCATCACAGATACTGGCTTTGACCTTTGACCTGATAACAGTGTGGATGGTCCTTTTGCTCTTCAGCCCAGAGGACACCGCGTCCATGATTTCCAAAAACAATTTGAAATGTGGACTCATCAGACCTCAGCACACTTCTTCACTATGGGTCAGTCCATCTCAGATGAGCTCAGGTCCAGAGAAGTGGGAGCTGTTTTTGTGTGTTGTTGAGTTTGAATTTCCACTTGTAGATTTAGAGACGAACTGTAGCACCTGACAATGGTTTTCTGAAGTCCTCCTGAGCCCACGTGATCAGATCCTTTACAGAATGATGTGGGTTTTTAATGCAGTGCTCCCGAGGGGTCAAAGCTCATGAGCATATTGATTTTCAGCTTTGCCGCTTACGTGCAGATTTCTCCAGATTCTCTGAATCTTTTGATGATTTTATGGATTGTAAAGAATGAAATCCCTAAATCCCTGCATTAGCACATTGACAAATGTTGCTCTTAATCTGTTGGACTATTTGCTCACGCAGTTGTTGACAAAGTAAGAAACCTCAACCCATCACTGCTTGTTAACAACTGAGCTTTTCAGGGATGCTGCTTTTAAACCCACTCATGACCCTCACCAATGAACCTGTTCACCAGTGGAATGATCCAAACGGGTGTTTTTTGGAGCAGTCCTCAATTTTCACGGTCTTTTTTGGAAGGTTTTGCTTTATCAAATTCAAAATGAGTGAATATTTTCAACAGAATCAAAAATAACCAAGTTGATCAGTTTGAACAATAAACATGTTTGTAGTGTGTTCAACTGAGAATAGGTGGGAAAGGATTTACAAATCATTATATTCTGATTCAATTGTAATGTTGGGTTGTGTTTCAGATTTCTCATACTTAAACAGATAGTGTCAGATACTTTGTAGTGTAATGTTACATAACTCTTAGAGGGGGTATCACATCATATTCTTCAGTAAGCTTTGTAGACTCTTTGTATTTAAATTTAGCTTCCCTTTGAGTTCAGTTAGTAATGATGTGTCCAAATAGCCGTTATGAATGTTTCGGCCATAAGACCAAAAATAACAGAGCTGGCTGGAGGGGTCGCTCCAAGATGTCAGATAAAGATAAACAGGTTCAGCTTAATTAGAAACAGGAGTTGGTAAAGCCTCAGATCACTTCAGCTTGTGAAGCTGTTGTTCATCCTTATAAAACACAACTAAAGTCATTCTAACCCAAAACACCGCAGCCAGTACATTTAGTGAACATACCAGGTGTGTTGTGAACAGCATATCATGAATAAATTTGATGTAGAGTCTCAACTAATATGGTATGATTTCTGTTTATTCATTTCCTATAAAGGAATATCTCCAGCAAGTGCTTTTATACTCGCAGCTTAGAATTTCATAAGACAGCTTGAGTCAGCCAGCAGGAAAGTGAACGATTAAATGCCAAAGAAAAATGCTTTAATAGCTCTGCTGTTATCACAGCAAGAAACCCTCCTAATGGATACATTTTTGAAACTCAAGCCATTACGGAAAATTCTCATGTAATGTTATAAAAGACACGCTTTAGGCTCTTTTTGGAGTGTTGACCCTATAGGGCTCTAATGGTGGCTCAATACGTGGCTGGAGTGATCAGACTTACATCAGTGGGAGAGTGTGAAGTGAGACTTGAAAAATGGGCTCAGGGTCTAAAAGTTGTCTGAGCCAGGTTTTGAAGAGATTTATGAAATCTGTGAAAAAGTGAGTCTTTGTGCCTCTGATTTTATTCAATGTGACATATTAGACATATATATATTTCCTTTTTTATTGTATCTGCTTTTGTGACAAATAGGAAACAAACCACTCCAGCCTTCTCCAGCAAACTGTTTAAAATAATACCATGTCAATGCCCTCAGATATATTGTTAAATATTATAAGTGTTCTTTGTAACATAGTCTAGTCTTGAGATTTTATTACACAGCAGATAAGACACATGCATTTTTGTGTGTTTCCCACAGTTTCTGACCAATCATTTGAGGTCTGGATCAAGCGGTGTGAAGAGCTGATGAGTGGTAAGTAACTGAAATTAAACCTCCATCATAACTTTTAGTTTTCATTTTTGAGAGCTACTGTTGATTTGTAATCCCTGTAAATTTTCAGAGCTTAAAAAAGTAGACACACATTGGTTTTCTGCATTGTCTTGCAATGACAATGCAAGATTAGCTTGCATTGTCAGCTAACAACAGATCTGAAACTATTTCACTCAAATTAACACAGAATGATCACAGACTGAAGATACGCTGATACTCCCTGTGGGAAAGAAAAACCTTTGAATGTTGCAAAAACACACAGAGTCTGTCGGCGGAAAGCTGCTGGTTTCACGCAGCAAGTGGATTTTACATTGAGTTGTAACGTCCTGCTGTTCAATGTTGAGCTGTTATCGTAAATGCATAACAATATTGTGTTGTTTATTTGGACCATTCCCATCTCTTGTCCACCATGAGTACTTTCCTGACTCCTTGGTTGCAGTCTGTTCACCTCTGATGATATGTGAAGTGGTTGTTTTGCAAGGCAGACAGAAGTAAGTGGAAGGTATCAACAAGGGAACTGTTGAAGCTCCTGTCTGGAGTTTTAAGACACAAATGAGATGGACTGAAATTCATATTGATGCCTTTTTATGATCTTCAAAAGCAAATAAAACCATCCTTTACGGCTTGGCGATAAACCAAAAATTTACCAGTACCAAAATTTACGACAAAAACCAACGTCATTTTGCCCATATTGATATATTCTGTGTCAAAAAATCAAATCAATAAAAGTTGGTTTTGGATGTGTGTAGGTAGATTATGGTCTCATGTCCCTTTAAGATGCTGTCCTACATCAGAGACATGACTCCACCTCATCTAACAAAGAGGGAGGGGCAGGTGAGGAGATGGAGGACGGTTCAAAAGTTGTAGTGGCTGGAGCTGCGGCTGAAGTAGACAAGGGTAATGTGGGAGGGGGTGAGCAGCTTGTGGAGTTGTTATCGTCCATTTATCATTATTTAGGTGAACTGCTCAATATATCATGATATTGATTTAAGGCCATATCGCTCAGCCCTACAAGATTGCCGACTTTTTGTATCGACATTTTTAATGGCTGAAACTGGAGCGAGGCGTTGGGTTTCAGCAGAGTAACTGAAGGAAAAGCCTGTTTTTATCATTTACACAAAGTCTTTACATTAAATCGTTGATTTGATCATCTAAGGCAGCAGGATTAGATTTTCAGAAGACACAGCTGAAACATATAGATGGAAAGATAAGAAAAGACTTGATGCAGGGGGCACTTAAATGGACATAAAAATAAACTTTGTCACAGGACCTTCAAGAGAAAAAGCAAATAATGTCATTAGCTCAAACTGGATGGAACCAGTTCTGATCTAGAACAGGCTTTTGATCCCCACTCTGCTTGTTTGTTAAAATGTTATAAGGTACGGCATGGTTGCATATAATTTCTCATGGCTGTTAATAGTTCCACCAAAGTTTGATGCCTCATGATCCATTTCCAGTTTCCCTCTAACTTGTGTAAACTCTTTTCCCCTGCTTTCAAACGCTGAAGCAAACGGATCAGTCAGGGAGCTGATCGGTCCGTCTGATCAAACAAATAAGCTCGCACACATCCATGAGTCTACACTGTGAGTTCAGGCAGAGCTGCTTATTCCAATAAAAGATGCATGCCGTGTCTGGGCGGTGTGTTTCTGTCTGCCGCTGACGCCGAGGCCCTCTGGATCATCTCAAGTAAACAAGAGCATGAGTTTTGACAAACACGCTTCACACCCGCGTGCACACGTACTCCCAGGGGCTGTATGATTCATCAGAGTTAACGTTACTGATGTTTGAAAGCTCCCGATGAGACTCAGCCCCCTTCATAGCCCGCGCTCAGACTGCATCTACGCACAAACACAAACGCACAAACAAACACACACACCAGGGTGTAAATAGCCCCTCCCTGTAAAACTTGAAAATACCCTACTTGAGCTTGCTGACACCGGGGGCAGTCGCAGAGTGTTTCTCTTGGTGACAGTGTGTTTACAACCCACAACACACAAACACACACCTGGTTATGCCATCACATGTGGCTCCCAGCCTGTTTAAAAATACACAAACACAGATACACACAGTCTGCTCCCTCAAACAGCCCCCCTCCTCTCTATTTCAAACGCGACCTCGTTAAGACGACATTAACACGCCTCCCATCATCTCATGTCTCTCTCTCTGAGATGAAGTCAGTGAATAATGTATGATAGCACGCTGGTAAATGGTGATCAGGCTTACAGGGGCTCACGGGGCTTTTAAGAGGACACGGATGAACCAGTAAACAAATGGGGGCAAGGATGGGAGAGTATGTGGAGGGACATCCTGTGTTTGTGTACCTTATCATCCAAGCTGAAGTTCTGCACATACATTCATTCATTCAGAGTGTTTCAGAAATGACCGCTCAATCCAGGTTGTGTTTGAGGTGTGTTATATTTTTCCTGACCTGCTGCACTTTTTCCTCTCCTCTTTCCAGAAAGGACACAGATCGGCAGCAGCAACGGGGTGAGTTTCCCTGCTGAGTCACATGGGGGCAGTGTTGCTCCCAGCACCAGAACACCTATTCAGTCGTGAATATCTGGTCTCCTTCCTGAAAGAAGGCAGTATTACTGAGCTTTTCTCCTTTTTTCTCCCTTCCCTCTGTTTTTGTTTTATCCCTCTGCGTTATCACCGCATCCACACGCCTAATTGCTTCCTGACTCGGGGGCTTCATGACCCTGCAGGCACCTATGGTTCCACCTGTGAAGTAAGTGCGCAAATGTAAATATGCCTTATCTGTTCTGTGTTTTTAATGATTATTTTATTTGTTTTTACCAGCCTAATTAAAAAAAAACTATCATTTTTAACTTAACACTGACATACATCTTAATGAGCCGCGTTTTATTCATGAAACAAACTGCTGTGCTCAGGTGGAGTAGCAGCGAAAGAAAGAAACCGTCTAAAGCTGCCTGTTCTGTTTTGTTTTTGTGTCTTGCAGACATGACTGGTACCAAACAGAGTCTCAGGTCATCATCACAGTTATGGCTAAAAATGTACCCAAGGACGGGGTGTGCGCCAACTTCATGGAAAAAGAGGTAGAAACACACTTAAGTGTGGAGTCGAAGTGAAGACAGGCTGTGTTTTGTGTCTTTGGGTTTTGTGTAGAACAGAGATGGGTTAGCTTTTGGGCGTTTCCTCAGGGGGGCCCATTAGATGGGTCTCACACTCACACACATCCAGACACACAACCTCCCCATGGACTTAACTATGCCTCCAGTGGTGCCTTGTTAACATTGCCCCCAAAGTACAGATCTAAGAGCAATTTACCCTCCCCAGCTTCTCCAACCTCCTAATTGTCTGTAGATAGAAGACATAACTGATCTAGGATCAGCTTCAGAGCCCTCCAGGGACGACCTCCTTTCTTTCCCTTTTCTCTTTTCCTTTGTCTCCTTCCACTTGTCTTTTTCCCTCTCAGAGGGGTAACTGCAGGGCACCCCAGGGAACGACTTTGTCTTTCCTAATAGAATAACAAACTGAGTTTACCCCATTTCAAAAGAAATAGTTCACTCTCTCCGATCCACACAGTCACTCGTTAGGCTCTGTGTAGTGGGGAGTACGGATAAGTTCATATATTTTTTACTAGGTCAGTATGTACAAAAGAAATTAAAGATGAAAGGCAGTGGTTCCAGTTATTTTCCCTGGCGACTGAGCGTGTGTACCTACAGCCGGTGCAGGAATTCAACTAGAAATGAATATTAAATCTTTGATGGTTTTGTGGAATTGCCCAAAAGCTACTTTATCTAACTTTCTAAGCTTTTATCCCCGATGTTCTACTTCTTACATACATTTGAAGTCAAATCAGAAAAGTCCAGTTTTAATGAAGTGGTAGGTGTTAAATCTCAGCCATCCACACGTTAAAGCCACGAAGTGTGGAGAGGAGCTGTTCCTCAGGTGGGCAGATTGTAGTGCTTAGGCCAAGCGATGAGTGTGTAAGGAGTGTGAGGCTTTGGGCCACAGCCAAAGACATGTCCCTCCAAACCAAACCAAGGCGCCACTCACCCATCCACCCAGCATCCAGTCTCAGTGAGTGACAAGCGGTTAGGAGCTGTCTGACCCCGCCACCACCGGTCACTATGTGGCTGCAGGGGACAGAGTGAGGATACTCCTGGCTGTCACAGCAGCCACATCAGATCACTTTCCTCCTCGCTGACACCTTCACACATTCACTCCTTCGCTTTTTATTTGTTTCGTTCTGTTTTTTGTTTTTTTTTAAATAATAAATTGCAGATCAGTTTTATTCTAATGCCCCTGCCCTGACTCTGTTTAATTTTTCTCTAACAAAAACAATGCTGCATTCAAATGGGGTCAGGAAGACTGCAGCGAAACAGTTATAATTTTAGTGGATGTGAGCAGGATGGTGTGGCTAACAGAAGACTGGCTATGCCTACAGAAGTAGAAGGAAATAATTGTAGTCTGGACCACACTGAGCTTAAAATGTTGACGCAACAAAACACTGCCTCTCTAAATGAAGAGACGATAAAATACAAACTACAATAACACAATTCTTCCTTCATTGTCTGTCATCTTAAATTATCCTTGGAATCAATGAAGTATCTGTCTAACTCTTATCTACAGCCCTTTTCATACGGAGAGTCTACAACAGCACCGTAACACAGCTCTTCCGTTATCACGCCTTCATGCTTTTATATTGATCCTGCAATGGCGTATTATTGGCATCCTAATGTGTGATTTCACTTTGAATTACGGCGCTGTGGAAGTACGAGAGCGAGTCTCACAGCTGGAGCTTCACATTCACACATTCACACACTCACACAGTGTTGTTTTGCTCTACTGGCTCAGAGTGATCCCGTCTCCTCCGTAATGACTCTGTTACTACACCATTTCTGGCACATTGATGAGACGACTTGAACTTGCAATGAGAAAAAGTTTGCGCCCAAGACAAATTTGCGACCTTTCATTTAAGCAAAGTTTTAAATATTTGATTAAAATATCTTTAAAACTGCTTTTTGAAGCTGCATGTGTCATTAGAATAACTACATGATGAAAACTGTATTTAACAACTTTATTCCATCCTTGTTTTTAATACAACACCACTGAAAGCAACACGTTGTTATTAAAGAGTCTTTGGCTGTGCTGTACCAACATTTTGGTGATTTTCTTGTAGCTTCAAAAAGCTTTGAGGAGTTGAAGGTTTTGCTTAAGCCAAGAGCACCCTAAAAGATGTTTGAAATTTCAACCTCATGAAACCCCAATCAAGGTGACGGACAAATACAGATTTAACTGTTTTGTTCTTATGATCTGTGGGTCATAATGATTGGGCCAACACACCACACATGATTCTTTTCTCAAGCAAAAAGAGTCTTCACTCTCACACTCTGCTTTGCAATCTGGTTCTTCTATTGCAGTCACTATTTCTGTCCAGCTCCTCTCCCTGCCAGTTTATTTGAAATGTGTGCTACAAGACACTCTGTAGAAACACTCGTGTTATTGCCACAAATCATCAAGTTGGTCCTTCAGTTCTTACACTCCACATTTACGACAGCATACAGAGTGCAGACTCAGCTGTTCTTGGTGTTCCCCCTCATTCGACATGATTTCTGATCATAAATATTAATCATGTTTAATATTTACAATTTATGCAGCCAAGATCGTCTTCCAAGAAGATAGAGGGGAAGAAAAATTACTCTTACTACACCACACTTCAAGAAAATCTAGCAAGATGATCCTAAAAACCATCAGATAATCTGCACTGGATTGTACCAGCTGTGAGTGAGTTAAAACTCTGCCATGAACTTCTGATTTTGGATGGAGTTTACGAAACTTTATGGTTGCACCAGCTGAGATAGTTTTAACACAAGTGTGAGTGACAATTTGAATCTGACAACTTGATCTGAGTAGGTGAAAAGTCCTCCGAAAATACTGGTCTTTATGGCATATAAAGATGGGTTATATTGGAAGAGGACAAGGAGTCCAGAATTGAACTCACTGCTTTGGGCAGGCAGTGTTTTATGCAATAGAGTACTGTAAGGAGTACCACTGTATAAAATAAATATGTTATAGCTGATGCACCACCACATATAACCATTGTAATGTTACACTAAATATTAATTACCATTTTTTCATAATGCTGTTTTTTATTCACATTTCTTTAGGTTAGTGTCAACTTTACAGTCTACTCATTCAAATGAACCTCATGACCTAGTGGTCCAACCAAACAAGTACAACTGAAGTTACCACTTATCTTGTCTGAATGTAAGGTTTGATACGGACTTAATGTCTGGACTTGAGATGCAACTTATGCACATATGGTGCAACAGGCCCAAATAGGCTCCTTTACCTTGTTTATATCGTTGGCAGTTAAATCAAGTGCTCATATTCAGAGACTATTGTCTTTGAAGTATGTGGCTGTGGTTCTAACTAAGGATCGATCAACTTTTAAAATTTTATTATTTTTTTTTTTTAGGGCCGATACCGATACCGATTATTAGTCATTAAGAAAACCGATATTTAGAACTGATATTCATTTGCAGGAAAAAAAATTATATTTTGGTGTTAAAATTTTAGACAACATACCTGGGATTAGACTGAACACAGTACACTGTTTGTTTTGTACTCTATGAAAATCTGTGTACAAACAAGACAGTACAAAGATGAGGCTAACTGTTTTTGGCTGTGGTGCTAATTTTAGAGGTAGCTGTGTAAGAGCAAAACAAGCGAGTGTTTTAGAATAAACTTGTTTTATCAGCTATCGGTTGAAAAAATGTCTGATGCCGATTATTGTAAAAATGCTGAATACTGGCCAATATTATCAGCCATGCCAATTATTTGTTGATCCTTAGTTCTAACCCATGGCCCTGTTTTGCATGGCATCTCCTATTGACAAGTCTCATCCTGTTTTAACCATCCAATCTCTTTCAAAAGTTGAGTGCAACTGTTGTCAGAGTAGGGCTGGGCAATAAACCAAAAATTTACTAATATCAAAATTTACAACAATAATTGACGTTATTTTGCCCATATCGGTATATTCGGTGTCAAAAAAAAGGATAGATAAAAGTTGGTTTTGAATGTGTCCGGGTAGGCTATGTTCTCATGTCCCTGTCTTACGTGACTCCGACCCATCCAGTCTGTAACAAAGAAGGAAAGACAGGTGAGGAGATGGAGGACAGTTCAAAAGTTGTAGCAGCTGAAGTAGACGAAATTAATGTGGGAGGGGGTGAGCAGCTTGTGGAGTAGTTGTCGTCCATTTATCGTTATCGAGGTGAACTGCTCAATATATCATGATATTGATTTGAAGCCATATTGCCCAGCCCTCTGTCAGAGTGATAATCTTGTTTGATTTGAGCAAAGTTTCTCAGCCTTGTACTCTACTGTTTGACCCAGTTGTGTTATGCTTTCTACTGTTATATTTTCTGTTGGGGAAATGTCCCTGTGCATGCTGTAATTACATCAACACACATCAGTTACCATTTGAAGAAGACTGTACTCTCTCCAGTATGTGCCACAGACCCAGCCCCCACATTTTAACTGTACAAAGTAGTCATGTTAAAAGAAAGAGAGAGAGATAGAGGGAAAATCCCCTACTGTGAGGTGTGTGTGAGAGCCAGAAATTTCCTGAAAATCTGTCCTGAAATACTCTACAAAATGCCAGGAGTTAATGCCGTCGACTGAGATTTGAAACTTAACCAACCCCTGGTGTTTGTGTTCTCTCCCAGCTCTCTTGTTCAATTCGTCTGGCATCAGGGGAGAGCTACAACCTCAGCTTCCTTCTCCTACACTCCATCATCCCCCAACAGAGCAGCTTCAAGATCCTCAGCACCAAGGTATCACCCACTGTACCTCACGACAAACATATTAAGATGGCTTGACATGTTACTTCATGGACATTTCACAACGGCAGATAAGACACACGAAACAGAAAGGAACTGTGTATGCTTAAGGTGCATTTAGAGGCGTACCAACGAATCAATTAGCTGCAGCAGGCAGACAAAACACTGTCACCTCTTCCTTGCAGGGGTTAGCATGCTGGATAATATAAGCTGAAACTAAGGAGAAATGTTGCTGCTAGGATACATTGAATTATAGTCATGTAATTTCTAGAGAGAGTTTAATTGAATTGTATTTAGGTCAAGGCAGAGTCAGGAAATCTCTTCTTTTTCTTTAAATTCAAAAATGAATCACTCTACAGATTGTGGTGTGTATCCGGTTGTGCACGTACAGTAATATTAGAAGGCGGTTTTCAGATGTGTTTCTCTGCAGTATGTTGTGTTGTTGTGGAATGTTAAAACTGTTTACCACTTTAATACATTTCTGTAACTGGAAAAACATAAACAAACATTTTTAGGTCACAGAGGCACTCCGACTAAGTTTGTGAAAGTCAATGAAAAGTCACTGAATTTTTACTCATAATCAGAGGGAACACTGCGTCTAGCCTTGACGTGCTGGTAGTTACTCTCAACAATAAAGAAGAAGACTATAAAACATGTCAGGGGGACATTTTTTATGCCCCTATAAAGAAAATATGATGTAGTAATGTCACACAGTGGAGGGATGCAGGTGCTTTAAAATGGGAGCTGCAGATGACATGAAAAAATCTCTTTAATCCTGGTTTTTCAATGGTTTACAGAGTATTGATTATTGTTAGGAATTACTTTTAATCTTAAGGTAAAATTAATATTGGGTACTCAAAGAAAAATGTCAAGAAGAAAATCATGCAGCTGAATGTGTGACTGATCATTCCTTAAGTTAGCTCGCTGAGATTAACATCATAATCTCTTCTATAATTTAAAGCAGTATAAAGTTGGCTGTCACTACCTTTAATTCCTTAATGCTGCTAAAGCTCACTGTGGCTGGAGTAGAAATGAGAAAATCCACTCACGCTGTATCCAGTGAGACTCCTGTGGAGACACCAGAGCAGTTCATCTGAACAGCTAACAGGAGATCCACACATATGCACAAATCCTCACTCCCACACCCACACACTTACTGTACACACACTGTGCACACACATTTATCAAGGCCATGCTCTGAGAGAGTTCCTCAGCTCAGTTTAAGGTGATTATGGGCCTAATGAGTGGGAAGGGCACCTTTTTTTTTAAACTATGGACTAATTAGTGTGTATTCTGGATGGTGTGGGCTAATGAGTGTGCAGGCTGAGTGTGTGCAGATTCAAGGTTTAGACCACTGTCAGGTCTTAGCCTCAGCGGATCAGGAAGTTCTCAGTGTGAGCTGTTTTGATAGATTTTTTTTAATGGTTAATCGTTTTAAAGGCACTGATCCAATCCTGTCTGGCAAATAGAGTTCAACTAAAAACTCTGCTTTCTTCCTCTGGATCCTGAGTTTGTTCAATTAAAAAAGAAAAAAAGTTAAAGGGATAGAGAGAAAACTAAAACTACATCCATTATTTGTTATTGTGACTGCGTTATTATTAACAACTGATTACTGTTTACTGTATTATTTGACAGGGGGCAGCCATGACACAAATGTTGGTCTGAAGTGGCCTTAAAATGTACAACATACAAAAGTATGTCTCTTTTTACTCGTTGAAGAGTAGTGTCGACAGTAGTATTGAAAAGTATTTGTATCAATAAGCAGTACCGTTAGTGGTACTAGTATCATAGCTAGTAATGATACCCACCCTATCAGGCTTCCTTCCATCAGTTAAAGCCGTTCAACTTCCAGGTAAAAGCCTGGACCAAAGAGAAAATCGATCCTTAACAGCAGGACTGGTATGGTTGTCTTTGACATTGTGCACTTCCAGTTGGACAAGGGTTATGGAGAAGAAAACAACAATGACAAACATGAAGACAATGAAGTAGTTATTAATTATATTTCTGTTAAAAAGTGGCGAAATCGTGGGCTGCGTTACGGATGTAGAGCAGTGCCGACATAAAAATATTCCTCAACATATGGACACAGAATTACATTTTTCACAGTGTGATGTTATGTTGTTCAAATTGTTGCCTTTACTGCCTTCACCATTTTTGGTGATACTGCAACATTAAGTCTGTGTCCACAAGCTTGCAGGAAGTGCAGAAATACAGAAGACATGAATGTAGTGTGTAGAGAAAGGGATTCGTCTGCATCTGTATAAGTATCTAACGTAGCGCCTAAATTAGCTTTAAGCTACAGCTACTCCCAAAATAACTAAAACATAACTCTGAAAACTTGCACAACTTCTTCATAGGACAGATTCTGGGGAGAATTATTCAAAGAAACTCCAAGAATCATCAGAGGAAAGCTGCTGTGAGGAGCTTTTGATATGAATGAAATAGACTGAAATTCTTACTAATGTCTTTTTATGATATCCAAACGCTAACAAGGCCATTGACACAGGACTGACAATTTGTATGCTTTCATTTTTAATGCCTGATACTGGTTTGGCCGAGCTGCTGGAGAAACAGACCTTTTTTTTTTAACTATCCCCTTATATACATTCACAATAGATGATAGATTTGACTGGAATAAGTCATCAGGATGAGATGTTATGTCAAAAGACACTACTCAAACATATAGAGAATAAAATAAGAAAGGACAACTCTGTCCAGAGGGGGCACCAAAAGTGACACAAACAGAAAGGTCCTTACAGGAGCTTTAAGTAGAAATATTGGTGTTTAACTTGGTTTTGCTGACATCCATAAACGTACTGCTGAAATTGTCCAGATTTTATTGATATTAAGCATATGAGTTCACTAAAAGGAAAAAGAGAAACAGAAAAAATGTCGATGTTGGCACTTTTGAATAAATTTCTAATGCTGGCACAGAAGGTTAAACAGTTAAAACGCGCTCTTTAGTTTGTTTCAGAGTCAGGCAGCAGGAGGTCAGAAAAGGCAGAGTTTAATCACCAGTGCTGGACTTTTCCACCATAAAGAGCCTCAGAATTAAAAAAAAAAAAAAGAAAAGAAAAGCTTGAAATTTGATTATTAGCCTTACATAAGCTGACGTTTACATTGTGTGCATTTTATCCGCTGGCTACACTGTGCCGAGCAGAGGCTGACCTGCACACAAACTGCCTGCTCTCCAAACAGCACTCACTCTCACTCGCAGTCTCACTTTTCCATGGCAACAGCAGACACTGCATACCAGAGGTGCACGTGGGCTGCAGCTTAAACAAGGGCTCAGTCTTAGAGAGACCACAGCTGAGGACGGTCTAACACTCTGTTTCATCTATCTGCAGCCGCTGTTTCCCTCCTTATTTACCTTCTTTATCTTTGTTTTTTCAATCTCTTATAACTCAGACACACACACACACACACACACATACACACACACACTGTTCTGCTCTCATACAAACACACATTCATCTGCCTCTAGAGAGAGAGAGTATACAAACCCTTCTCCCCTCCCACAAAGCCCTGACTGTTCCCTGGTCCACTGGGCTCCTCTGGTACAAATGGCCCCTACACACACACACACACACACTCACTCACACACACACACACACAATTACACACCACCAAGCTTATAAGCCTTCACTGTTAACTGCAGCATTTAAAAGGCTCAAAACAGCAATAAGGCACATAACCCTGGTCGAAGTCATCAGGTGGAATGTGTGTGCGCACCATGAGAGACCTCGACAAACTGAGCCGCCTGTCAGTGCGTGTCTCATTTACATATTTTGGAACTGTTTCATTTTTCTGAAGCCAAGAAGCCACTGGGGGGGAAAAAAACATTCAAATGAACAACAGCATCAGCAAATCAACTTTCTCCAGATTGGCATGCATCCCTAATGAGCGTTTAGAAAAAAAAATTGCATTGCCCTCGGAGCTGTTGATTCCCAACCATCGTCGGTCTGTCTGTCTGTCTCTGTAATAGGCTGCCCTGCACTCGGCGCTCCACAATGTTTACGCTTCATCTCCTCGCTGTCTTTAAAGACAACTTAGTAGGGGGAGGCTAAGCCGTCCGAGCACACACACACACACACACACACACACACGAAGGCTAAACAGTAATCTTTCAACACACTCATGCCATTTACACAAGTATTTGCTGTGTGTGTGTGCGTGCGTGCATGTGTGAGTGAGTGTCGTCTGTAGCACATTATCGTCAGTGCGACCTCCTCCTGTCCTCCATGACGACAGACATTCCAACCGCAGGGGTCACAGCGACAACAGGGAGCCAATTACACACCAGTGTGTTTGATCAGAACAGACGGCTGACGAGCACACACTCAAACCCCGTGCGCGCAAACGAATTCAGCGCAGTTTCGATCAACACGCGCTCCTTCATTCAGCTCGAAACTCATCTCTTTTTGGAAAACAGCTAAAGTGGCGTCTCCGCTCTTTAATTTGCACGCCTGTCAATGTCTAAGAATGTTTATATTTATTTCATTTCCGTGTCTTTCTGGCCGAGTTTGTTTTGAAATCCGCAATATCTCGAAAAAAGGGGTGGAGGATGCGGGGTGAGGAGTCGTGTCAGTTGGGAGCGGGAGGGGGTCGATGGGTACAAACACATGTGACAAGCGACATGGGACCCCACTGCCCCTCTGTAAATAGCATGTGTGTGCGTCCGCATGTGTGTCTGTGTGTGTGTAGTGCAGATTGTACAGTCCAGCCCCTGGGGTCCTGTGGGTGGTGGCCCCTGTATGTGGCTCTGCTGTCACATCCCTTCACGAGCCGTTGCCTCGCCTGTCACACACAGAAAAGCACACAGAGAGACACACACACGGCGCCTGGCCTGCCATATCCCTTAAAAGCCAGGAAACACAGATGTGGCAGCAGATTAATGTTGTATGGCCCAGGAGCACGCATACACGCACACACACTTTGACACACACGCAGCGGAGCCTCCAGATCTGCTGCACTACACACCGCACAAACATTAAAGACAATTAACGGCCCCTGCAACACTGGCTGGTAATTTTAAGATAACATTTAATTTGGGTGGTCTGCAATTTTTAGTCCTGTGTTTTTGGTTCCTAGACTTTCTGTAATCAATCACAATCAAGTCAAAACACAACAGCCAGACAGGCTGCCTTATTAAAACAGAAAAATTAAACTCTACAAGCTGGATAGCTGGACCTAAATTAGAGTATGTGTGTATATGTTTATTAAAGTGTAGAGGGAAAAAATCTATAAACACATTAAAAAAAAGAAAACGCTCTATCATTCTGAATAGCAATTAGCAGCATTTGTCAGCCCAGAGAAGTTCTGGTAAATCCACATTTTGATCCAGACTGGAGTCTTCAAAGAGAGCCTGAGACCCCTAACAGAGCTCAAAGCAGCACCCAGTCCAACACTGCAGGTGCACCTGTCAAAAAACCACAACAATTATTTGATACACCAACAGGAGCTGTCTCAGAAAATCAATAGAAACCAGTTTATCAGATACAAACAGTCACCGCTGATGAACAGGGCTTAACAGTAAAAAGTTAAATCAGAGATGGAGTTCGGTGATGTGTCCTTAATAATTTAACAACACCACATGTTAATGTTCTGTGCAACTCTTACTGTATATCTTTGGCATGTGTATTGGCAGAGTGTCAGAGCACAACAACACAATGAGCATCAGCCACCTTAACCACTAAGAGGGAACCAACATGATGCACAGCTTAGTGTTGTTGTATATTTACAATCTTTCAGGAGGTTGGATTATGCTTTCATGTATTTTGTAAGCATATATTTAGCCGAAATGTTGGATGCTGATACTAAACCTTGGTAGAGTTTCAAAGTGTGAGTCTAGCTTTGATGAGACAGCAGGCTGCTCTGACAGAAATGTTTGAAAAGTCACATCAGACTTCTGTGAGTGGGACACGAGATTAGCTCAATTCCTGACATCACCAATTGGTGATTCTTCTTTCAATGTAATTTTAACAGTTCTATAGTGTGTTGCTTGAAAATTTCTCCCTTTTAAATCCTTTTAGGTTGTACTTCAATTCTTGACATACAGCCATATTTTATGATGTTTCATTCTAGGTAGAGACACACAACTTTTTTTTGCATGGCAACAGTGGAGGAGGCTTCTGATAGCTAAAATGAAGCATGCCATACAAAGGCTGAAATTAAGGTTTTTTAAGACACCAGTCTGATAAGTAAAGCTTTTTTGAGCTGTAAACTGCGCAAAGCTACTATAGAGCTATCAGACTGACCTGAAAACAAACATAATATCCCCCTCTCTAAAGTCTGAGTCCACACTGATTTGAATGGAGTAAAAGCAGCTGCTCGGGCCTTTATGGTTTAAAAAATGAAAGAGAGCCGACAGGCTGAGTTTGATTATGTGCATCAAGTCGACTGACTCTTATAATTTTCTATTGAGAGCTGGAGATGTGGTCAAATGATGCATGATTGATATGCTGTGGTGAGTCGACAGGCTGTTTGCTATATCTGAATTTACATAAACACGGCTGGACCTCTACTTTATGCAAATAAGTCTATTCAGCTCGATGCGCCTGGCTCTCAAAACTCATATTAAACTGTCAAACTAGGCAGTGCTGATCAAATATGAATCACAAATCTGTCACCGCATTTTCTTTTATCACCCAAAATATTTTAGGAACTTCATTTTTCAAACTTTTTAACTGTGACACAAAAAAGTTTGTGCACAGCGTGCTGTTCTGTACTTATCTAGAACAGAAAGCCTGTTTAATAAGGCTGCACATCATGTTGTATCTTCATTATTTAAGATGTTCAAATATATTTGATGAATGTTCATCCAAATGTTGTACACAGGAAACATTTGTCCTGTACCAGCTGTTTGCATTCACACTAAGCATGTGAACATTTGGCCTTTCATACATGTATACTATACACTATACTAAGAAAACAGAAAAATCAAATAAGTAAGAAATGAAAATGCGATATATATAAAGAATACAGATGTAATCAAACTTTTGGTAAATTAAGTATTTGCAATAGAAAGTGAGATATAACGCTCTTAACATTTGCACCTTACAATTACTACAACTACAGCTACTGCTATGACTGCTACTGCTTCCAATCCTCTGTCCTCCTGTTACCCCACCTCCTCCCCAGAGAAGAGTTATACAGTCTGATGGCATGAGGGACAAAGGAGTTTTCGTCTGTCGGTCCCGCACCTGGAAAGGAGCAGTCTGCCACTGAACAGGCTCCTCTGGTTAATGATGACGGTGTGCAGAGGGTGACTGGCATTGTCCAATAACGTCTGGTAGTTTGTCCATAGTCCTCTTTTCTGCCATTGTCACCAGAGAGTCCGGCTTCATGCCAGCCGCAGAGCCGGCTCGTCTGATCAGTTTTTCCAGCCTAGATGTGTCCTTCTTGGATGTGCTAACCCCCCATTAGCTGATGCTCAAGCTTCCTGTCAGCGAGATGGCAGAAAAACAGGAGAAGAGTGAAGAGAATGTTGTCAAAGAGCCCAACTTCTGCCATTTGGAATTATTTTCAGAAGACACAGTTTGATACAAATACACACAAAACATTGATACTGTGCAAAACATGTCCAAAACAGCAAGACACAGGAGCTGTGGAGCTAATCCTTTCTCACTGAGTTTGTTAAGCACTCTTAATATCTTTATTCTGACTCCTCTTTCATACTGCAGGAAGTTGTTATCCGTTCAACTGTGTTCACATTGGAGACAATCTGTTCAAAGCAGAAATCTATTGATCAGGTTTATTCATAGGCTGCTCAATGGCATTGTGAAATTGTCCAATGACTGGGCTTGAGACCAATGAAAAATAAACATATCATGTCTGCAGACACTGCAGGCAGTCCTGTCAATGTAGCTGCGATCTAGCAACATCAACATACCTTTGAGTGATCAATTGTCAAATGACAGCAGATCGCAGTTACTCACACGTGTTTATCAGTTACTCTACTATAATAAATGGATTTTGATATTTCCATAGGCATAGATATGTCAGTTCTGACATCTGTGTTAAAGCCTAATTTTTTGTTTATTAAATAAATTAACTCAATATCCATCTGAGATAGATTATAACATTCACTATTCAATTAATGGCTGTTATAATTATAAAGCAGTTATACTTTACAAAAACAAAATAACCTGCTCCTTATGCATGCATCGGTATTGGCCACTAAAAAACTCATATCAATTGACCGCTAGGTTTTATCCATTATGTCTCCTGTTCAGTATAAAGTACGGACATATAGGCAGTGATGTTGTCCATTGATTTCTGAAGAGGTGTCATGAAACCCAAAGATGGGAATGTTGACCTAACCTCAGTTTTCAGTCAACCTAAAAACAGGCCTCCTGTGCTTTTGGAGCCTGCCCCTGGTGGAAATGCAGGAAACTACAGTTTTTCTGCACTTCTGCATTCGCTCAGATTTTCATCACTGTAGGTTGTTACCTGGTTCCACCCAGGGCTCTGAGTGGGCTGATGTTTTTAAGTACACAGTCCCACCACTTCCAATATCTAACCCTGTGCTTTCAGCAGCCAGGACCTGTCCCCACCCCGTTTATACCACAGTTTCTCTTGGCAATTGGTAAAACTACCAAAAATGCATTACCCATGGTGCACTACCCAAGCCTTGTGTCTTTTTGCTTATGAAAAAAACAGTTTTACTATTCAAAAGCTTAACTTGTCTGGAATGATGGTTTTATGTATTCAAAAATAGTGATCCCAGTGTGACGTCAGAGGCTTGTGGGGGAAGATGTCTGCTCTGAATAAAGACAGAATCAGGCTGTAGGCACAAACTTGAGAAAGAGTTAGCTGGTATATTCTTCTGAAGGCTGATTGTGAACTATTCGGGCAGTAACCTGTATTCTCAGCAGAGATCGGCTTTTTTTAGTTCCTCAGCCCAGCGCACTGCGAGCCAAAAAGTTAATTTCGGACGCTGCACAGATGTCTCACTGTGCACCAGGCCCTTTGTGGGGCAGAAAGCGCTGACACACACCGAAGCGATCTATCAGTGTGTGCCGCTACTCTGGCTTGCCCGTCACGTTGGTGGAGAAGGTAGCAGGGATCACACCGTCTCTTACTTCTCTCAATCTGCTCCCCTCACTCTTGCTTTGCTCCCTCTAACCTTGTCTTCTTCCTGGTTCCCTTTTCTCTGCTGGCACCCTCATAAATGAATCATCACATCGCCCAGCGGAGCAGAAATGTTCCTTAATTGCACCGACATAACCAGCACTGTCTTTCACATGCACACATATCAAACACACATGCCATTAATGGGTGGATGGGGTGTACATAAGGAGGGGGAGGAGGGGGAGGATGGGGTCGGCGCGGCGCTACAGCTCGCATGTCTCGCTGGTATGTGTGCTGTCAATGCTGCTCAGTGTTAAAAGTGTCCACGTCCTCTCTCCCCTCATTGTTTTCCTGCTCTCCCATGTTCTCCTGGTGTAATGATTTGGATCAGACGCTGCTGTGTGGAATTAGGATCTCCCCCCCTCTCCTCCCTCTTCTCCTCCCTCTCTCCCCCGCTCCCGCGCTCCGTCTCTCACACTGGCCCTCTGGCTGACAGGCATCTCGTTAGTGCAGTATGTCTGTCAGTGAGGTTTGAGATTGAGCTGTGCCCCCGCATATCCCTGATGTCTCACACACACACACACTCACACACACACACACTCTGATTCAGGCAGGCTGAGTTGACAGACAGACAGCGTCTCTCTGGCCTCAATAATGATCTGATGTCCTGTACTTTTAACATGTCACTGTAATGGAAGCGTTATTTTTGTCCCATGCCTAAAAGAGGACCATTTTGCTAAACATTGTTATCTCCCTTGTTTTCTCTCCTCCTTTTCCTCCTGCCTCTTCTCCCCCCTCCTCTCCTTATCGCCCCTCTCTTCTCGTCTATCAGGTGGAGTTCAAAATGAAGAAGACAGATGCCATCAGATGGGAGAAGCTGGAGGGAGAAGGACAGGAGTCCAACATCAAACACTTCAATCCCAGTCAGTCCACAGCTTCAACATTTCACGCTCCTCTCCTCCCTCCTCTCCACCACCACCTCCTGTCTTGGCTCTCATCTCTCCTTTTCTCCTTCACCCCCTTCTTCTTCTTCTTCTCCGTTTCTCTCTCTTTCTCTCGCTCTGCAAAGATCAATATGAGCTCCTGTGTTTGTCTGTTCGGCACTGAAATGAGAGTGGGCAGTCAAGCCCTGCTGGAGTCTTTCATTAGTCTGACGGTGAAAGTAGGCACAGAGAGGAAAGGTATGACGGCGGAATATGACTCAGTATTTTAGCCCACTCAGTCCCATTACTGACAGGATTAATTACTTATGTAAGTGTGCATGGAGGGGGAGTGAAAGTTAAGTGGGCAGCCAAAACTCTCCAGCTCAGCCTCCAGAAAGGCCTGTTTTTAAGAGCCTGCTCAGAACTGAGAGTGCTGTTACGTTTCAACTCGATATTTGACATCTGATTTACTGGGATCACATCACGGTTTCTGTCCACACTTGGCCTGAATATGTCTGCTACTGTATTTATGTAAATCTGCGTCTGGATTACATTCCTCGCCTCCCCTCTCCATCTCTTGTTAGGATTATAAAGTGGGCGTATTTCATCCTGAAAATATAGAAATCAAATCACAATGTGATACTTCGGCTTTCAAGTCGAGCAGTCAGCTGCTGAGTGAGCAAAAGAAATTCATTTAATGTCCCGCTGCAATTAGATGATAAAAGTCAAGTTATTAAGAGCGCTTTCAATTAAAAATGCAATTTGAAACATTATGAACCAAGTACATCTTCACAGAAGAAATGATTTTCTTTGAGGTCTTCGCACTTATCTAAGAGTGCTGTTTATCCAATTCCTCTGAGCTGCTCTGGAAATCTTGAACTCAATTTAACTGGACTGTATGAACTCCAGCTTCTGTTTCCTTCCCCCATCAGACCAGTACCCGACATCGTCTCACTACACCCGCAAATGGGACAAGATGGTGGTGGATATCAGCGAGGAGGAGAAAAACGAGAAGCTGGAGGGAGACGCCGCACTAAACAAACTCTTCCAGCAGATCTACTGCGACGGCTCCGACGAGGTCAAACGAGCCATGAACAAGTCCTTTGTGAGTGTCAAACCGATATCACATGAATCTTTGCTGCCGGAAATCACCCACACCACATTGTCATCCTAGCTGACACAATCATGCACACAATAATCACATCGATACAATTCTAAAAAGAAAATCGGTCTTTGTTTCCCTGACTGTGAATCATGTGAACTTTACACCTTCCTCATTTGTTAGAAAAATAGGAAAGCTGCAGCGGAGCCTTGTACACTTTCTTCTGAAGCTCTCAGGATAAAGAAACATTTCACCAAAGCTGCACTGTGAAAGTCAACTTTAAAATTATTGTACCTTTTAAAGAGAAAGAGTCTCCATTCATCAAGTTTTCTTTGGTTAGTCACAGAATTCAAACTCCATTCAGGAACTGCAGCTTGTTTACAGTTTGTATCACTGTGAACAATATCAGCTGGGCAGATTGAGGAGGTCAGCCTTGAGAGTAAAGTACAATCATGAACAGATACATACAGTAGATTGTAATCAGTGATGCTGTAGGGTTTTAATGCTGAAAGTCTTTAGGACCCATGGGTGGTGATTTGGGGAATTTTGTGGGTAACTGCACGTGTCCTAAATAGGAATGGGAAGTTTAAAAAAGTCCTTTGATCGATTAATCATATAAATTCACGATCAATCATCAATTTATTCAAAAATACAGGAAAAAACATGTATACCCTCATTGGCAACTCCCCCCTTAAAACTGTTGTTCAGAACTGCACGCTACATGCTCACTCGCGCTTCCTACCTGCCCATACACCATAATGACCGCTGTTCATTTCTCACTAATGAAATGCTAAAGTCAGGGACATTTGCAGGGACAATGTTACCCGAAACGGGGACTGTCCCCTGAAATTGGGGACGTCTGGTTCCGCCACTTCCGTCTTGCTAGCAAGTAGCTGATGGTAGGTTGAGACTGAAAGGGCATAGAGGATTCATTAACCTCAGTCGGATGTTAAGGTTCAAGTGGTACATCATCAGGGTCGTTGTGGTGTTGTACTTGTACACAGCATTGCAGTGTTGCAGCAAACCTCATCATTTTTCCGCCCGAAATGGTCCCACACCTACGAAAAAAGAGGTTTAGGGACACAAGAAGAGAAAAAAATAATTACAAGAGGGAGATTTTTTTCATTTCCATTTTGAGATTAAAGTCGAAATTGTGAGATTAAAGTCGAAATTTTAAAAAGTCGAAATTTTGACTTCATTCTGTCGACTTTAATCTTGAAGATTTCACCTTTAATCCCAATTTTTTTTTATCTCAATTTTGACATTACTCACAAATTCTCATAATCTTAAAATTTAGACTTTAGTCTTGAAATTTCAATTTTTAATCTCGAAATTTAGACTTTATTGACATAATTATGATTTTTTTTAGTCTAGAAATTTTGACTTCCATCTCGAATTTTCGATTTTAATGTCCTTTATGTAATTATTGTTTTTTTTCTTTTCATGTGGCCCTAATCCTCTGTCATACACACTACACTACATCTTGCTTTCTTCAGGATTTTTTTTAACGTCTACAGACGCCCGCTGATGCTGTATCACTCCTTTTGTAAAATGTCAAAATCCTTTCTCGTGGTGATAGTCAGCATTGTCTGAACACACACACACACACTGACTGGAAAAAGAGGGTATCCCTTCCAATCAGCAGATGTTGATCTTTGCTGGAAAGCAGCTGGAAGATCGACGCACACTGTCCGACCTTTTTAATAATGTTTGATTGATCGAAATTTTGCATGATCGACGTAATTCTTCAAATTATCGATCATCGATTAATCGTGCCCATTCCTAGTCCCAAATACATTTAATGTTCCATGCAAATTTGCAGCGTTGATGTCGTATTGGTGTGTTAAGGCCTGGTTTGTTTCAGAGCTCAACCATGAACATTGCAGTTGCTGTGCGCAGTCAGCACTTTGCTGAATGTATCAGTCGTGATCTAAAACAAGATTCTGTCAAAACTTCCTTCCCATCCAGGGTTGATCTACGATAAACATCAATCTGAAATCACTTTGATGCAGCATCTCACCTAAACACAGACAGTGTGGAAGTCAGATGTGTTCACTAGTACGGTTCGTGTTGCTCTGCCTGAAGTCTCTCCTCCTCCTCTTGTCTCTTCACTTCTCGATGTAGGTGTCTGAGCTGCTGTCAGACACAGCGAGATAGAAGTAGAAAAGGAGTTTGATTTGAAAGCATCAAATAGATCCAAAATTACAAATATGTGTTTTTGAAGCACTACATTTTACATGGTATCAATTTCTGTATTTTTGATGCCCTTATAAACTGCAGCTCTAATATGGTTGTAACATAGAGATATGTTCAGAGAAATTCAAAATATATCTGAAATTCAAACAATATATTTTCAAATCTGAGAAGTTATTAGCAACATAGAAAAGAGGAAGTGTTTACTGTAACATCTTTTATAGCACCAAACTAAATGATCAGGTAAAAAAGAAGTTGGTAATCCAGAGAAACGATGTGTCTCATCTGGTTTTCTTCTGTTGGTTTGGCCTTTATATTTACTTTTCCCTTACAGCTTACTCTGGAAAAATAAGGATTTTTCGAGGCATTGTCAAGACAAAACAGAATGATTATTTTTTCACATTTGAGCAGACTGTATTACGTTCATGTGCACACAGCTGTGGTCAGTATTGTCAGTAGCTTCCATATTTGCGGCACATTTGCCCAGTTTTGTGTTTGAAACGGGGCGACCAACTCTGATGTGGCCTCTCCAACCGTCTGTCCTCTACACCACCAAGTAAACGTTTGCGATATGACACACTGGAGCATTGTGAATATCCTGTATATGTGTGTGTGAAATCCCTGCCTTTTAGATTAAACTGTGTCAGAGAACACACACAGCACTGTGAAGTAGATAGTGAGTCTGTCTTTTGTGTAAGTGAAAGAAAGCCCAAGCTGGTATCGAAGACACAGTAAGGTCTGTGTTTTCTGTGGTTTGTTTAGTTACAGTGGTCAGAGGGGCGTTTCCAGATAGCCTCTCATGTACTTGTTTGCAGACCTGAGTAAACAGAGCATGCATCTAATTCATATCAACCACAATGCCTCATGGGATTTCATCATGACAAAGTTGGACAGTTAGGAGCAGCTGTGAACTGATCATCCTGGAGTAGCAGAAAGCCTCAAAAGAGCAGCTAGGCGTAGAAGAGACAAGTGAGACTTTTGAAAACCTGTACGTAAAAGTGAAGTCATGTCAGCGCAGTGTTAATTTTGGCAGCTTTTTTACATTCAGTCTTAAAGGTACATTCTGGTGTAAATTTGAGTTAGGGTCAAACACACTGTTACACCAAGTTAGACACCCCGTCGAGAGATGAATGTTGCCGTCTGCTTGCCTCTCTAGTTAAACCAACTTCAGCAACGACCGCACAATAGCAATACACAGCGGGCTCCCCCCACAAACAAGCAGTTGTTTGAGGAGAGTGGGTAAGTTGTGTTTGGTCTCTTTGCTAAAGAAATCAGGCAAAGCTAAAAAGATGTTTGAAGGTGAGTACTATGGCTAGGACCCTATATGTACTGTTGAAGAAGTTAGGTGCTGTTCTGAGCATTATTTGTGGCATTTTGGTTGAGGTTTGTTTATGGCTCCTGAGACCACTGTGTTTTGCTATCATGCGGTCGTTACTAAAGTTGGTATAACTAGAGATGCAAGCAGTCGGCAAAATTCATCTCTCGAGGGGGTGTCAAACTCGTTGTTATGGTGTGTTTGACTTTAACTTAATTTGACGCTGGAATATCCCTTTAATTCACACTAACCACAATGCCTCACTCAAATGCTTTTGAGTTGTGGTCACATTTTTGTCACTCCTGCCCTAAATAGTTTTAGTGAATAAAAATCAAAACATTTTAGTCATTAGTCTTCCTCGAAGTGTTTTCTGTCTTCAAACTAATTTAATTCATCAATCACAAATTGAAGTTGCAAGGTTGTACTTCTCTTAAAATCTTTAGTGTCTCACTTTCTTAACACTTTACTTGTGTAACATCAGGATTCATTGCTTTAATTGGATGATGTAGTTAAGACTTCTGCCTGTGAAATGCTGCTGATCTGCTGAGTTACTACAAAGAAATGATCCTTGCTGCTCCAAGTCAAACTTTCTCTCTATGACCACTATGGATACATTTATATTGATTGACTTCTTCTTTTTGTGTGGTGGGGGGCTCAGTTCAGGAGGTCTTTCAGGCCACATCTTCATCTTCAATTATTTTGATTTGTCATTGCTAGGAAACAACGTGTCGAATTGGCTCTTTAATGTCTCAGAACGAGGTTTGGACACAGAGCTGTGAACTGCTGTCAAACATTAGACTGAGGTCCCCTCGTTTGCTGGTGTCGTCTTTATCAACACACAGCAGGAAATGTTTATAAAGATGAGAAGGCAACATGGAGACAGAGAGGATTAGTGAGGATAAGTGAGAAAATGAATCATACACCACTGAACAAACTCAGCTCATTACACAAATGTTTTGTTTTGATTTTAGGTGACAAATTAGATACGCATTGGGTAAATCTGTTGAAATTTAAATGTCCTAAAACAAGGGTCTCTTTATCTTCTTGTAAACTGAAACAAAACCTGTATTTTTCAAAGTGTTTGCCATTGATGATGGAACTTATTTGGTCATTGCTGAATGGAGGTGTACAAACTTTGGAGCAGGTATCCCAGTTGAGGATGCACTTTCAGGATAGATGATACTTGACTGGCCAGCCCTCCTCTCCTGTTGCCCCTTCCTCTTGTCTTTTTTAGAATATTTGAAATTTTAGCATTTTGCATTCCCAAAGATCACCCCTAACCATCAACAAATGAGTGGATTCAATTAGGGCTGGGCGATATGGCCTCAAATCAATATTACAATATATTGAGCAGTTCACCTCGATGACGATAAATGGACAATAACTACTCCACAAGCCGCTCACCCCCTCCCACATTAACTTTGTCAACTTCAGCTGCCGCTCCAGCCGCTACAACTTTTGAACCGTCCTCCATCTCCTCACTTGTCTTTCCCTCTCTGATACGGAATAATTGAGGTGGAGTCACATCTCTGACGTAGGACAGCCTCTTAAAGGGACATGAGACCATAGCCTACCTACACACATCCAAAACCAACTTTGATTTACTTATTTTTTGACACTGAATATATTGACATGGGCAAAATGACGTCAGTTGTTGTCGTAAATTTCGGTAACGGTAAATTTTTGGTTTATTGCCCAGCCCAACATTCAATCTCTCTCTCTCTCTCTGCTGTGTGTGTTCATATTGTTAATATGGCAGCAGTACCTCTGCAGGTAACAGAAACAGAAAGAGACATAACAGACGAGCTGAATTTGTCCTGAGGGGGACATAAACGTGTGAACCAAGTTTCATGGCATCCCATCCAAGTGTTGTCAAGACACTGCACCCAAAACCATAAATGTCAGCCAGCCAATGCTCGAAGAAGAGCTCTGCTAACGGAGTCCTGAGAGGTGTTTGTTGATTTGTAACAGTTATCCTGCGGGGCCGTCCTCCTGCAGTCTCTCTGCCTCCACATCCTTCGTCTTTGCTCCTCTATATGAACATGTTACTCACTGGTTAGAAATCATACAGTCAACCATCAAAAGTGAAATGACTCACTATCGTCACTCCACTGGACAGCCAGCAGTTGTTCTTATTTTAGAAAACCGTATTGCAAACAAGCCCTCTCCAGAATGCCCACACTCTGAATTGACAGCAGCCCACAGACACAAACATTTGGGACATTACAGCGATCTCTACATGAGCATTGTTTGACCAAAGTTGTTCTGCAACTATTTTATAGTGCAAACAAATGCAGCGTGCCGCTCCTGTGTTGGATAACAGATGACCTCATGGCGGTGGAGAACTGCTGCACACCTAGAAAAGATTAGCTGTCATCCCAAACATCCGCCCCAAAGCTGATTGGGTTTAAACATTCATGATGAGCTGTCACTTCTGCATTTGGAGCTTGAGACCTTTAGAAGAATAAAGGTCACATTAAATGGAAATCTGCGCTCTGAATTTTTTTCACCTATAAGCTTTGAATAAGATAAAAATATATATTAGAAAAGAGGCAGCAGTCAATAAATAATCCCGCTTACTCAGCAATGCTTGTGCATTCAACAGAGCTTAGGTGGACTTCTTTGTCAGCATTTTAGAGCAGGTAGAAGGTGTTACGTAACCAGAGTTCTACCCAAATGAGTCCACTGAAGTTAAATCACTGTCTGTCTCTCTCCTTCGCAGATGGAGTCAAGTGGTACGGTCCTGAGCACCAACTGGAAAGACGTGGGCAAGAGAAAAGTGGATGTTAGCCCACCAGATGACGTGGAGCACAAGAAGTACTGAGCCCCTCCTGTCCCCTCTCTCGATCCGTGTCTCCCCGCTTTCACATCCTCCCTTCATCTTTTGTCCATCTGAACTTCCTCCTCGTCTTCGCAGTTGTTCTGTCGTTTTCACTAAGTGCAGGGAGCCTCGGTGTTCCCACTTTTACTCTTTGCCTATTCTCTGCAATAACCAGTAACCCTCTAAGGTCAGATAGCTCAAATAATCTCCACAGTGACTTTTCTCTCAAAGACTCAAACAGAGTTATCAAAAGGGACTGACGGACTGAACTCTTAACTCCAGTTTTAGAAGCATCACTCTTCTTCCCTCTCCTGGTTTTTCTCAGCCTTTTATGAGGAGTTCTGTCATCAGCTCTTGTATGAAATTGTAAAATTGTTCATAGTAAGTAATATCCGTTTGAAAGTGGAAATGATCACTCTGATTTCATTTCTCGGCTCTTTTCTGTACACTCGGTAAAAAGTCAACAGCAATACTGACTTGTCTGGGGTCTGTGTGACTCGTCAGCCAGGGGCTCATTACCGCTCGCTCCCCCCCAGTGTGATTCAAGCTTCAGTGTAAATAAAAGATTTGTTGTTTGGCTCACAAACCTTGTCTCCTCTTTTATGGTTCATTGTCTCTTGAAAGTCTTTTGGACGGGCCAGAAAGTCTCTGAAGACACTCATCATATGCTAAAGCAGCGATATATGATGACGGGCAGCGGTGCTCTGTGATTATGTGCTGGGAGGAATGAAATGTGGCATCGCTGATAGGAGAGCAGGCTCTTCAGATATGGCTGACAGCTGGAGGATATGGTTTACGTATCGGGTTTCGATTGGTGTCCTATGGAGGAGCCCGGAGTCACTTGGCCAGCAGGCGAAGATGCTGCCCCAAGGTGCCGCTGTGATTTACAGTCACAGATGTGAGAAAGCTGCACCTCCTCTGTTCTCCAAGCACATATATGCAGCTGCTGTAACTGTGAGGAGGCGTCCTGCAGCGGCAAGAGAGCATTAATATGGATCAGCCTCCTAACCGCATCATCCAGCCTCTCACACTGAGTTAAGTGTTAAATTCATCACACATCGTTTCATCTCTCGTGACGATCAAACGCCCGTTTGTGGCTCTGGATGGAACTCTTAGCTTCACAACACTCACACAAACACACACTATTTCCTGCTACCCCTGACACACACGCACAAACACACCGCCCCTATCCTTTACCCCCTACCCCCGCCTGAGGCGGCTCTGTGACATCAAAAGGAGCTAAGCGCTTTGCATCGTGGGTAAGATCTGGGAGCGTGACGGCTACAGAGTCTTTAGTCTCATTAAAGAGTTCTAGAGCTGCAACTCTCACATTAAAGAACTCTGGAAACTTCTTTCTGCTCATCCCTTTGGAGCAGCTACCACATGTGACACGTGTCAGGACTGGAAAGTGGCTTTGAGTGGGTGAGAGATGGAGAGAGAGAGAGGGTTTTCCCAATTTTACAGGATTCTGAATTTCAGACAGTATTTTTTACAGAAAGGTTACTGAGTCACTCGGTCAACAGAAAAAAAAAGACTTTGAGTTTACATAAAAAAGTTTTATTCAGTGATATTGCACTTTGAAAAGGATTCTTCAACAGGTGAACTATGTAGAAACATTTAGACACAAGTTTGTCAGAGATTACGTACAGTTCATATTTTTAATTAGAGGTCCTTTTACAGACAAAGATGGGAAAGGAAAGAGTCAAACACAGTTTTCTAACGTTTTCCTCACTACCGTTCTGACAAGATTTGGTTAAAGCAAGCAGATTTCTATTGCGTCAATCTGCAGCCTACACTTGAATTTACATTAAAAGCAAAGTGGGACAGCGAAATAAGAGAAGTTCTATAAATATGAGCGTTCCTGCTTCCTCTACAGATAAATATGTTTGCATTTTTCAACATCTGAAATCAAGGCGGGGTTAGAGCTCTTAAAAAGCAGTGTTGGTATCAGCCTCTAAAAACCATGAAGTATGCCTTTAAATGGATGGATCTGTTGATATCACAGCCTCCAAGAAATAGTCAATTATCAGGTGATTCTAGCAAAAGATAAAGTGTGGTGCTTGGAGAGAGTCTATTGTTAAAAGTAATACAATTTCTACGTGATGTGTGTTTTTTATTGCACTAATGTCAGAAGGGTACTCGCTGAAAGTCAATACTTAAATCAATGGGTGTCAAGGAGTTTTCTCCATAACCTCTTGTTTTTTTATTGGCAGCATGTCCTCCTGAAGACTCTAACAGGAGGAATGCTGTTTATATTAAAAACAATATTTTTTTCTAGATTCTGCACCATGTTGGTATAAATGTGTCGACTTGATTTAATAATCTGCCTAAATCAACAGAAGAAGCCAACCTCTCCAACTTGAACTTTTCCCTAAGTTTCCCCTCTCCTGTACCCTCGTCCCTCCCTTGTTTCCTCTTCGCTGGGCTCTACTCTCTCCTTGGTCTCTGTGAGCGTCTATACCAGCCCCATAATGCGAGCCACCCACCAGTTGCAGGGCATGATGATCCTACATGCCACCCTGCAGCCCTGGTAGTGGTACGGCCAGGGGTGATACCCACCCAGCGGCTCGCAGATCCTCTGACAGTGAGTGTAGCCGCGTCTGCACTCGTGGCAGCACACGCCCTGGTGGTCCAGCATCGGGTCGATGTTCATGGTGCCCTGCTCGCCCTCCAGACCTCTCTGAGATGAGACAGAAAAGGCGACACAGTCTTGGTTTACATTCTGATCCGGTAAGTGAGCGCTCATTTCAAACCAATTAAAAATGGATTTCCGACAGGCAGGATGGGGGAGGAGGGGATGTTGTCAGATGTGGGTTTTTGTTGTCAAATATTTTCTTCTTCAGCGTGCAGCATGCTGTTTACCCCCCCTCTGTGGTTGTCAGGAGTGTGTAGAAGGAGATGTGGGGGATGCTGAGAGAGGCAAATGGAGGAGGGTTGGGGGGGGAAAGGGGCCCAGCATAAGGGGTGAGCAGAGAGGGCACAGGGGTGTGTATGTATAGGAGTCTGTGTGTGCTCAGCAGGGCAAAGGGGCTGCACAGACGAAGGGGGGAGAAGTGGAATTATTCATACAGCCTCAATGCTGAAAGGAAAGCTTTGGACAGCCTCACATGCAGGGAAACACGGCCATGCATACACTCAGATCTGCAGTGACAATCCGGGCCCCTCCGCTGTGACCCCAGCAGCTGCTGCCGCTCACACAGCTGTGAGAAAGTCTCCTCAGAAAACTCCCTCTCAGGTAGCCTTCAGATTCAAGCGGACAGCCTCGGATGCTGTAAACAAACCAGAAGAAGAATATATGTGTTTGTTTGTGTGACTCACCTGATAGGGGTTCTCAGGGTTGAACTCGGCCTCCACGTCCTCTTCCTCCTCCCCGGCCACGGCTGCCTGGCGGCGCTGGCGGGCAGCAGCGGCTCTTCTCCTCCTCTGGCCGCCTGCACACATCACATTCTCAGTATCTGACAGTAGACCAAATTTAGGAGCGCTGTGGCTCTTATGTGGCTCAGCTCCTGATTGTACAGCCGTTTCTTTGGCAGCCTTTTTGAAGTCCTCAGATGAAGTAGAATAAAAATTGTGTTTTGAGAACTTTTGACCTCCCAGCGTGCTAAAAATTGTACTCTCGGCAGCTCTGAAACTTCAAAAGGACTCCTGCCTCTCTTTTTTTCAGGCTGTTTTTTCTCCTGTGGCTTAAACAACTGCAATGTTAAATGGAAATTACTGAGACCATTTGACCTGCATCTCCTTTGTTTTGTGTAAAACAGAAACTCCCTGAGTTTAAGAAATCTGTGTTTTACTTTCAGTTTTTTGACAAGCTGTCTGCTTCCTTACTGGTGGAGTAGGTGGGACGGAGCCAGAAGATTGGCAGATCTCCACACAGGTCCTTAATCTTGTTGCTGAGGAAGGCCGAGTCCGAGAGGGGAGCGTCGGCTGCCACCCAGATCAGATCATCCTCAAATTTGGCCGGCATCACCTCATCCTCCTTCAGGGGTAAGAAAGTGAGAAAAACAAACATCACAACAAAACATCTGAAGACGTCCCCGGCTGCTGGCGGCGTATCATCACACTTGTTTACGGATCTTGTTACCAGCCTCTCCCTTTAAATAGCCCACAGTGCTTGCATCCTGTCCGAGTCTAATCTGCATTAACACTGCGCTGTTAATGCTCCTTATAACAACATAAAATCAAGTAGTAAAAAGACACCCTGGAGGCTTTGGTATACAGATTTTCCGAGCACTAACAGTTAGCTGTACACACAATGTCAGGACTCATCAGGATCTAAAGGGGAGGAGAGATTGGATGGCCTAAATTTGCAGGTTTCTGCAGAGAAGCTAATGAGGTTTTCAGAGGAGAGACAGTGTAAACATACAGACTCTGAATCCACAGCCTGCAGGTGAAAAAGGGGGATTCTGTGGGGAGGATTTTGCCCAGAGGCATTTGTTCCTGTGGGCTGCTCTGCACTAGCCACACATGTTTAGAGAATCTTATCCTCCAACCTTTCAGATTTTTTCCAGCTCAAATGATTTGCTGCAGGGACAAATAAAAGTGGGGGTCCTTCTCCACCGCTCTGTCGATAAGAGTTTATCTGACCCACTCTCTCCTTCTGTGCGTGTCTGTGTGTGTCTGTGTGTGCGCGCTTATCTAACCCATATTTGCCATCACTCTAAATTATAGCAAATGACCAGCCTGCAGCAACCATTATAACAACATCTCCCTGTCTCCACACACACTCTCTCACACACTCTCTCACACACTCACACACACAGACACACACACAATCATGAACCAAACGATCATTTATGAGGCAAAGAGAGGCAATAACACAAACACACAGAAAAGAGCAAACGTGAAATAAATGATCCTTTATGAGGCAGAGAGAGGCAATAAGAGCAGCCCTGCGTGATAATTAATTGTGTGCCACGAGTGTGTGTGTGTGTGTCTGTGTCTGCGTGTGTGTTTGTGTGTATGCGTTCATGAGGGCGATTCTGGTGATGTGGATTTATGTGGATGTGAGGCTTATGCAGAGCTAAATGATTTTAATTATCATACAGCCTTAAATGAACAATCACAGGCCCGGGTGTTGGTGTGTTGTGATAGCAGTCCACACACAGACAGACAGACACACACATACACAGACAGACACACACGCACAGACACACATATGGTGTTTTCAGTCCAGCAAGCTGTTAAATGATGGGAACCCACACATAAAAATCACTTAGGTGTTACTCGTGGATTATTGGCTGCAGTAATTCATGCAAACGGCTTCATATGAAAACTGAAAGCTTATCATAAATCTCCAAAATGCACAGAAGAAAACAGAGCAGTTATACGATATTTCACCATGACTGAAGAATACCTTTCACAGAGTTTAAGAGGTGTAACTACAAGATTTATAAATACACCCACTTAAGAAACCCACAACAAGACACTATTTTGTTCTGACAGTTTCTCCGTGACGTGATCCTTTTCTCTACAACATTTTATCAGAAGTGAAGTAGTTAAGATGTCTGATCTAGTCCTGATAAATTATACTAATGATGAGACATAGATAAGTATACTTCACACTGTGTGTTTACTTCCAGGAGTGGAGAGTCACTTATGACCTTTTCTCTTGTTACTCTCATTTCATAGCCTTTTTCCTGAGTGAATTCATTTCACTTCGAGTCCAAACATCTTTTACTTAATCTTAACTTCACTGGCACCACAGACCCAAAAGTAAATCTTGTTTTCAGATATTTAAAATTTTCAAAATGTTCTGAAGAAATTCCTGGAATTACATTTTAAATCTCACTCAAGAAACTTTTGCTTAACATTTTATTAAAAGTTTTTTTTTAATTATTACAATCAGTAAAAGACTTCACTTTGCTTCATAATAAAAGGCCTCTGTGTACAGCAGCCATGACTCAAGTGTGCAAGGACCTGCTACAAAGTGCAATATCATGACCCTGGATTAGTGACAGTCAAAAAACTCCACCGTTGTTGTTTCCTTAGATGATATCAGAAGCCCCGCCCCTTTTTTAATTTTGATTGGTCGTTAGTGGAGATTTAAAAAAACTGGCCAGTATGTATTCCCTCACATTCTCAGAGATAATGCTAACGTGTTAATATATTGACCAGCTTTTCTTTCTTTTAGCTGCGATTTTACTGATATACATAGAGCTGGAGCTGATTGCAAACCTGTTAGCACTGCAGATGTTTCAACTCTTCACCCAGGACAAATTACAGTAAAAAATTAAATGATGTTTTTAGTCAGTCAGATCACAGTAATTAGTCTGGTCTTTAAAGACACAGCCCTTCATCCCCTGGTAAACGACATATCTAAACTCAATTAGGCTACAGTCAGTTTTTATGCGTCTTTATTATTCTTTATTATTGGTCTTTTCCTCGGTGTTGCATAAGGAGCTGCTGCTCTGCGAGAGGCATTTCAGACTCAGTCCAACACTTAAGTTATCATCATCACTTTATGGCAGCCTATCCAAAAGTTGTTAAGAGCAAAGTGGAGAACGAGCAGACAGGCAGCGTCTTCCCCTACAGGCTGCACTCAGAGCGCGTCTCCAAACAGGAACACAGCCAAACATAATGTGCAGTCATTGTCACGGCCTCTGCTTTTATTTCCACAGCCCTCCTCTGCCATGGGGACGACTTCATGGAGCCGAATTGTGTCACTGCTCAGGGGGAAATAACACAGCGCAAGTTTCTGGTACTGAAACAGGTATGGCTGTTGACCGTTTAACTACTGTATCTATACTGACTGCCAAGAGCCGTCCTTGAATAAAACACTGGAGAACTTTTATTGCTCAGACAGAGGGGGCCAAGCTCTTATGAGCATATTTTGGAGAGAGGAGAGCATTCATAGAGAGCTGTAGTTGGTGGTTAGAAAATGAAGCTGTTAAACACACAATTGCTCATTATATAGCAGCAATAACAATATCACTCAGCCGGTATTGGGAAATAATAGAAAAATGAAACAATATAACAGAGAAATAAAGGATCATTATGAGCAAGGCTGAGTGGGAATTCAAAAGCTGGAACTGTTCAATGTGCTGGACCTCATGGTTTGTAAAGTGTCCTGAAAATGTACAAAAAAACTTCAGCTTCTTTAGGAAATAAAGATATATTTGCAGAAACACTTTTACCCTCTTTTGCAGAAGAAATCAGCTAGAGAGTTTATATCATCCTGGTTTTGTCTGTCAGTATCAAAGCATCACTGATGAGATGATAGATGATTCATCAGTCAAGAATGATATCGTTAAACACGTTAATTAACGGGTTTCAGAGAAGCTGCTGGAAAGATTCTGTTATCTTTGAACTGAGCTTTTTGTTTCAGCCTGTCTTCAGTCAAAATGCTAAGCTAAGCTGCTGGCAGTACTTTCATATTCTTTACAAAGACATCAGAGCGTTATCGCTTTTACCATCCAAATCTCAGCAAAGGAGAAGTTTTCCCTAAATGTCAAACAGCTCCTTTAAATTTTCAGGTTGTACTTCGGTTCTCCGTATAAACTGTTGGAGTGTCTACAGTTCCTGCAGCATAAAGAGGCTTTTCATGAACTCCCTAAAAAAAACGCAAATCCCAGCCCCGAGGAAACCAGCTTTCTTAGGACATATAAGACGGACTGGGCCAACCTACCAGGTCAAAGGTCATGGAGTCCTTGTTGAGAGTCTCCACATCAGGTAAGCGAGCCTTCACTTGCGTCTTTATGTAGCACTTCTCCCCTCCTGCAAAGCGGATCCCTGTGATCCCCTGGAGAGGGCAGAGAGGAAAAGGGAAAAGCGAAAGTTAAAGCTCCCCACCACAAGTTCAGTGATTTGTTTTCCTCAGTCCTTAAAATAAATCTAATGTTTTACCCCAGCTGATTGATCATCTTTAGGTGTTGCTACATTTTAGTGTTTCACATCACACTAACAGGAGCATTGTGATTGAATGTGAAATCTCAATCATTAAAAGGCCAAAATTCCTGCTTCACTGGTCTGACTGGCCTGATTGGGGCTCTTTAATTAAAGGTCAAAAACCACCAGTCTGAATTTACAATAAGTTGAAATGGGACAATTCATCGTGACACTGATTGGCCTAGAGGGAAATCACATGTCCGCTTGCTCTTAATTTCCCTGCTGCTACAATGAACCAACCTCCCCTCTAGGGTCTTGAGAGTTTGAGATGATCTTATGGACTTCTTCTGTGGTGCTCTGATGGGGTCTGACAGTGCTGATCAGTGATTATGATTATCTTTTTAAAGCTACTGTGAGGAGATATAAGCCGGCTGAGAAACAGACTGATATTAATTCTGATGTTTCCATATGACCCACAAAAGCAAATCAGATCAATAATAAAATGACTGATCATTTCTATGTAAATAGTTTTGACATCTAAGACATTTGGTGGTGGGGGTGGGTTAGAGAAATGTAGAAACTGCTAATTAGCAAGCCCCCTTTTTGTACACTGTCCGTGCCAATCGGTCATGTTACATGCACAATTAGTGTTATAGCCTAATTAGGTGGTTTAATTAGGCTACCATTCCTGTCCCACTTTACAAGCACCAGGTAAGCATTGATTTGTAGACAAAAGTATGTCCACCTCCACTACAGTAGGTGGTGATACGCCCCCCTTTCAAAGTCTCCTTTCAGCTCATTAGTATCTGGATTTCTCACGGTTGACCTACCATCACAAACCCAAACAATCAACAAACACATTAGCAAGAGGCTAACTTTTTTGGGTAATATATATACTAACTGAGTGATTTAAAATCAGTGTTGAGTGCTTTTTTAGTAAACTGTTCTTATACCTGTACTGTAAAAAATCAACAAAGTGAGAGGAGGTACTTTTTTGTCCACAGGGGGCACCATAATTATCACAAACAAAGTTCCTCACAGGAGCTTTAAAAAGTTACTAATGCAGATTTATTGACATAAGCATGACATGTAAACATGGTAGATCTTACTAATGAAGGCTTGTATCCATCTGCTGTGAGTGGTACCTGTCAACAGTAAGTGTGTCAGCCGCAGGAGGACCTCCTTGTTGAGAAACCACTCAGTGAACCAGCCTAAAAGCAAGGCAATCAGCCTCTGTTGACGAGGTCATCTCTACTGTGTAATTTAGGTAATTTCAGGCCAATATGACCCAACCTCTAATGTCAGCACTTCACTTTGCCTCCGGAAAGCCTATTTGATTTTGCACTAATAGCAGACACAACATATTTGTGATCAGCTGTTGATGTGCAGGCTTCAACAGAGACAAATTTAAAACTAAACTATAATGAATGAATCTAACAACCGTGGTGAGGGGACACTGACAGTGGTGTTTGGGTCAGTTTCCCCAAAATCTGCTACATTTTTGTGGAAAAAAAAGAAAAACTGTTTTTGTTTGCAGGGGCGCCAAAATCAGCACAAACTAAGAGCTCTTTGCAGAAGTTCAGGTGAACTCTCATCTGTTGGCTTCTTGATTTAGAGGCTGCTTAACATGTCTGTGATAATTGTAGTGTGATTTTCCCTGTCTGTCTGTCTGTCTGTCTGTCTGTCTGTTTGTAGTTTATAACAGAGCAGAAACCTTCAATGTTGGAAATGAAACCAGTTCAGAAGCATTAAACACTGCAGCTCCTCCTGTGTCCACTTGAGACTGGTTCCTAAAGCCAGAGTCCCCTTTTAATCCCATATTAACATTCCTATAAACATATTTACAGCCTGGCACAAAAAAAAACGGTTTCACTTGTAATAGCTTGATTCTGTACTTTTGCACACTTTGTGGGAAGTGAATTCTTAATAACTCATCCGTTTTGAGGACATTAAGACTGAGATTATCGCGTATTGCTTAAAAAGAGGTGACTGAGATGACTGACAGGTGGTTCTTTGCACCTGTTTTCCCTGAGAGCTCACGGCCTGTCTCAGCTGCATCTCTGATTCCTGTCCAAATTGGTCTAAGATTAGGTTGAGTCAGCATTTCTAATCTGGGGACCACCATTGTTTGGCTCCCTAACCCTTCTTCAGAAACTGGTAGATAGTAATGCTGAGACTGAGTCCATGTTTTATACAGACTGTGCTGATGACACAGTTAAGGTTGAGGTGTTGAAAAACCCTCATTGAGGCCTTACTGGTTAGTTCCTACTCTTCAGGGGCATTTTTTTTACTTACTATAATCACCCCTTTCAGAAGGATCAGACAATTTTTTCAAAGATATTGGGATTACTAAGGGGGGGCTCCAAAATCAACATAGAGTTCCTCACAGGAGTTTTAAATGTAGAATTTTGTTATTCTGTTTGTGTGTTTAACTTTAATTTGAATGGGAATTGTTGGTCTTTTATTAAGCCTTAATATTTTAAGTTATGGAGTACTAATTCTTCCCTCTCCTAATGTGATAAAAACTAAGACCTGAGCTCCTGACTGTTTCCAGACAATTTCAGGACGATCATGTCTCAACACTTCACAGATTTGCTTTCCACATGTGTACCTGACAGCAGGACACTTTCTGTTTTGGGAACACACAAGTTTTCGGTTTGGTTAGTACATTTGGTGTTTTTGTGGTAGTATCAATATTAATATCAATATCTGTGATATTTTGAAAGATGTACTTATAAACAAAAGTAGTTATATGACACATAATAGAGAAAACTGGGTTCGGTAGACCAACCAGAGAACTGCTCAATGTAAACATGATCATCCATTTGTGTAGGGTACTGTCTATTACCTGGAATGACTTTTATTCTCTATTTTGTTTGCATTTTGTTGTCTAATACTTATTCGGATCATTCTTTCAGCAATCTGCTAAAGCTGGCTAATTGGATCTGAACATTTGTGCACCACTCAGTATTAAAGGAAATTTTTAACATGCAAAAGT